GCAGTGTTCAAGGCCAGGTTGGATGGGCCTTGGGCAACCTGGTCTGGTGGAAGGCACCCTGCCCATGGTGAGGCGTTGGACTAGACGATCTTCAAGGTCCCTTCCAACCCAAACCATTCTACGATTCTATGACTCTTATGATCTCTGTTCAGAAATCCCTTCTTCCATTTATACAGTCACAGTCCACCATACAAGTGACTGCTATTCGAGTTCCTTACAATCTGCTCAGTTCTCCTCTCACCCTACTGTAGATCCTTCCTCCAAACACCCTTTTAAGACTATTTCTCTTCCTAGCTTCTAGTCTATACTGAACTTACCACATCAGTCTTTTAAGTGTGCCCATGTACTACCTGAATCCCTTCTGTAGATTTCTGATTGCTCATCAGTTCCCGGTTCTCTCTGTTGATTAATGGATGCATCACATCCCTCCTGGACTAGTTACCTTTGCCAGACTCCGTCTTAAAAGGCAGATTTTCATTTAAGCATAGTCCCAAATACCACCAAGTCTCAAATTTTCTTGCCTTCCAACCTAAATCACCAGAACACTAGTAGGAACAGTGCCTTAACACTAACTTCTTTTTTGTTTACACACAGAAACACTGGCAGTTTCCTTCAGTCAATGATTGTGGTCTTCAAATGACTGCCACTGCATCCACATTAGGTAGAGAAGAGAGCAGAGGTACCAGAGCTTCCCTTTGTACAAGCCACCAGTAATGGCTGCTATCTTTCTGCCCAAAGAGATGTCTGGCTTGGAGGTCTATAAACCCTACCGTCTGCTGCACAGCATGCAGAGCCAGGAAAGTGCTCTGTAGATCAGCCAGAGTGAGAATCTCCATCTAGGATTTCATAGGAAACTAAAAAAAAATAAATTGAGAATCCCTTCCCTCCTCTCTGTTTTTGCACAAGCTGCCAAATGAAGAACAGCTCTGATCCACATCATCAATTTATTCTATAACAATTTATTCAAGCTATAACTCTGTACAATTGACTTTAATGCCTTAAACGGAAGAAATTACAGCTTCAGGAAATAAAAACCATACTCCTCTAATTAATTAAACTATTTGACATCAACACTATCATTCATATATAAACAATGTTCATCTCTGGGCAGTTAGTACCATGCCTAGAAAACTCTTTCTCATCAAAGAAAAGCACCATGAAGGCCAGCACAAAGACCAACGAAAATCTGTCAGCTTCAATCGATCACTTTGCCTATCAAGCAATAATTGATAATATATTAACAATGGATTCCACATCTTCAACAGGAAAGCCATGCACAACTACCAGTATATCCCTTATACTCACCTTCTCTTATAGTCTTTGTTTTGTTTACAACAAAAATATCTGTTGTGTATTTACCTGTTCTAATCAACTTACCCCTTGAAAATAATTAGCAGTGTCTCTGATTACCTACACCACAGTCACTCCTCACAATTCTAGAGATTTTGATCACTTAATCGGACTAATCCAGTAGGCTGCAGTGAGAGTATCTTAACATCCTCCAATAATGGGTACTGACTATTGAATATCAGGTGCCGTAAAGGAAAATACAGTTAAATCTGCAATTTCTTTTCTAACTTTTAGTATGATACTCTATGCACTGAAGATAGGAAGGGAGTAACAATGGTGTAGGTAAGGCAGTATGAAGCTGCATGTAGGTATGTACCTGTGAATACACATACTGAGTAAACAAATCTTAACACTCATCGAACAAACAAAAGTGATCTTCTCATTAGATCAGAGTTGTCTTATATCCAAAACAGTCTCTTACAAAGAAAAATGTAGTACTCATAGTACATTAGAAAGAGTTATTCCTTATCACAAAAACAGAAATCCTGCTTCTTTACAACTTCTTGGGCAGAGATTTCATGTAGCCAGACAAAGAGTATTTCCTAAAGTTCCATGTGTTTCATGCCCAAAATTACTTCTGGAAATAATCATTTAACAGCAGCAGAGACACATATGAAACGTTTGCCATGGGAAGTACCTCTCATGTTGCACAATTACCACGCAAGTTACTCACATGCACATTTATTTGCAGAGTTGGGCCACACCGCCATTGTGGGTTTTTGTTTGTTCCGAAAAGCCTCTTCAACTCTAGCTTCTGTCTTCCGTACAGTAGAACCATGAGGATTTATTTGTTCTGCTGTTACTGATAAGCCTGCATACAGAAGATAACCATACCTATTTAAATAAACCAAGCTGCATAAAACTATTGAATTTAAAAAGAAACTTGGTATACCATGCTGCAATAAGAACACATCAATTAATATTTAGCTAGACATTCAAAACAAAGATTAGAATCAAGAATATTTGTTTTCTACTGACAACATAACTTACCGGTTGTATGGTCTTAAAACTGTCAGCTCTGACAGCTTAGAAAAATATGACTGTCTCTCACACTTGGGTCCCCAAAGATTGCACTCTGCTATCTGTATTTTCTCTACAAAGCAAATTCCTATTGACAGTTTCAATTTTTCCTAATTTTAAGCAGATGATTTAAAATAAGTGGCAATTCATAATGGCATTGTATGCCACATCAAAAAAAAAGTATCTGAATAAAAACCTTGTATTGTCACCATGATCTATGTTAACGTAAAATGGATCCATTTCAGAGTCACTACGAGCTCCGATATTAAGAAAAATGCAATTCTGCTTCTAACAAAGTCTGGTTTGCTTTCTCTAACGTAAGTTCATCTAATAGCTTCTACTGTTTCAAAGGGTTTTTAATTAAATTCTAAAACTGCAAACTTTCATATTGGTTAAGCACATTTTAAAGACATAAATGAATCCCTGAAGTTTCATATTTGTGAACTACAATTTCCTATCCATCCACCAGAACAGTCTTCACAACGTCATACTATGTCTCCAGTAGTAACCAGAACCAAGTGATCAAGAGCTGACAAGAAGCTCTAAAACTGATGGATGCAGAATCCAGATTCACAAAGGAGCACTCACCTAACAGTTTATAGCTACAGCATAAGTTTCTAGGTACCACTACAAGTATTTTCAACTGCATACCAAGCATATGTCATTACTTGAAACATCCACCACTTTCACCTTGTTATCTGCTGGTTTCAACAAGAAACTGCAAATTCCAATAATCTAGTTGGGTTTTTTTAAGTGACCAACTTAGAACTTGTTATCCTCAGATCTACAGTCTTTCAACAACAGCACCTCATTTCAGTAATACAAGAACAGATACTGACTTTATAACACATTTTATTATTCTGTTATACTGCAGTATTTCTTTTGAGATTGGTCACCAGTCGCAGTACTAAATAAAAATGGCAGCTCTGTCAAAAAAACAGAAAAGGTGGGGAAAAAGAAAGCGATGTAGAAAATACCTTCCATTGTAAAACTATTTAAGATTGCTAAATAACATGCCAAGAGAATTGTGAGGAAAATGGATATGGAGCTTCATAGCCTTAACCCTCATCTTCAGTATCCTGGAAATAAATTAAGAGCTAATAGGTGGCACAATGCAGAAAATCAATGGCGTTTTAACTGCGTAAAGATTAAAAAGCCTACAGCGTGTGTCACTTGCCTTCTAAACTCCTCTGTGATTGCAGACAGAGACACTTGATAACATTTCCAGAGAATCTATTAGAAGCCTCATGCAGATCAGCTTTCCCGACTCCATCTAATTCTCATGTTGAATGTTGAAGCCTTTCCAAATGTAGCCAAGAAAATGCTGGCCAAGATCTAACCAAGTACAGGGCATGTTCTTTTTGTCAGAAGACAAATTTCCTTTCTGATGGCCACAGCCACCCACTCTGACTCAATTCACAACTGCAACACTACCTTGACCTCTTCTGAGGAGGTGTTAATACAAGTTTCATATTCAGTCCAAGAACTGTTAGTAGATTCTCATGATAAACGTGGACCTTTTTTTTTCCCCTCTGGCCCACTGTTCGCATTATTGCCCTTCTTTCAGAAAAAATCTGTTGGCAAGCTAAGAATTTTAAGTCTGATAAGGCTTGAAGGTAGGATTCTTTATCAAGATGAGTCCAGAAATATATGCAGAGAAATGTGGACACTGAATGGTGTTATTTCTTTTTCCCCATCAGACTGTATACATGCCAGTCTGGCACTTTTAGAGGAAGATGAAAAGAGAAGCTTAGGGTACTCTGAGCTGAAAAAAGCACCTGCATCATACAGAGAAGCACACTCACTGTGTCTTGTCTCAACATTCATTTAAGGCCTTGCTTGGACATCTCTTGTTGATATTAAAAAGAAGTACTTAAGGGTTCAATTCCCCACCACTTTGCCCCATACGCTGGTCAGGCCATGAGGCTGGCTGCCCGATTCAGCATGATTTCATCAGGTAGCTCCACTCAGGCTATACTCAGCTGGTATAAACAACCACCCCTGCATTTAAGTGACCTAAAAGCACCAAGCCTTTAGACAGCAAGCAGCATAGTTTACACTGCTTACACAGTTTTCCTCAAGTATTTCCTCATTATTTCAAAATATACTCTTATTACGAAGCAGAGGGGAAGACGGAGGATCTAGGGATCACTTCTATACCTGATCATCTAATCAACCCAAAGAAGCAGCCAGAAATCCCTTAATAACCAATCAAAGGAGAAAATGCAAGTATATGCCTTTGTCATCCCTTGTCCGAAATGCTCCAAAACAGGGTACATATCAAAGTCTAGACCAGCAGATGCACTGTGATTTTGCTATTCTGCTGTCTTGCTGAGCATTTTCTGTAGAGTAAAATGGGAGTAACAGCAAGGTTGATCAATGTTCACACTCCTTCCATCCATTAACAATGCCAGCGCCAAGACTACGTGCCTGAAGTGCCATCTTCTTGATGTTCTTTCTACACCACAATCTTTGACACAACTCATGTTCCAGGGATATGACAATCTCTTGAGCTTGTCTTACAGCATGAGGTCTTCAGACCTCAAGAGCTTCATATATTTTTCTTTATTCATAACCAGGTAATCTAATTCAGCTTCTTCCCTGCATTCCAAATCTGTCCTTGCTGATCCAGTAAGTGATCCCAGCCTTCCACACTCTGCAGCTGCACCTACTGAAGAGCTCATTTGTTCTGGAAACCACCACAATGTGGTCCAAAAGCAAGAGCATCTTTGAAACGTGACTTGCAGATATCTGTGACTCTGTAACAGTTTCCATGCCAACGTGCAGAATGCACTTTGAAACCTGTCCATTGTTGTATGTGAGCTGGTGCCACTCACAAACAACTGGTACTGCTAGTTACCTACCTGTATCTGAAGGTCCACTAACCAGCATCTGACACCAATAGTGTCCTCTTTTTCTGATTTAACAAGTTCGTTGCATGACACCATCAGCCTTAACTATGGCTTCTGAAAACCCATCTCTTTCAACAGGGTCTGCAGGTTTTGCCCCCAGAAATATGTATTACTTGGTCACTGCCACAAAAAGAAGGGCAGCATTCCGGTTAGCTCTTGGGAGACTTGCAAGGAGGGACTTACAAGCTATATAGTCACTCGCTGTAACCAAGAGCTCTTACAAGCAGTTACTTTAACCTCGGAAGCAATAACCTTTAACAATCGTGGGGACTCATAATGGATAATTAACTGAGCATAGCTCACAGTGTGACTCTAAGGCCAGAATTGTGAATATTCTTATACTTCTAATAGAAAAGTACAGAGGAGAAACGAAGGCATTATATTAGTCCTATTTTACAACCACGGTGAATTACAATTGCTTCTCTTATCCACAATTCAAAACACACATTGGAAGCTTGTACAGAATTAGACACAAAAATGCATGACTGAATGGGAAAATAAAAGGAACTGCATCCATTTAAACCTGAAGAAGAGAAAGCCTACAGATACTTGCATAGTTCAAAAAAAATTATTAATAACGGGTCTTCAATTTACTGATAGAAGTATTTCAAGAAGCAGCAGCAGTAAGTTAAGATCAGCCAAATTCAACCTAGAAATCTAATAATGCTGGTTTTTACCAAAGCAGGAGGCAAAGAAGGAGGCAACTTGCCAAGGCAAAGCTGGAATTATTGAAATCAGTAATCCCTAAATGAGCATGAAATTTTGTTCTAATGTTATAGTTCAGGGATTTTCAACCTTTTTCAATTTTCAGAACTTGAATAATTTTCCATGGAGGTACAGAATCTTTCACATAAACAGAGCCCTGTTCCCATACTGGGAATATGTTTAGGCTTTTGATTACCCTTTTCTAGTCACTTTAGAATCTGTCCACAGACTTGGAGGTCTATGGAATACAAGTTGAAAATAACTGCACTAATTTAAACAAAATTAAGTCAGTGATGTCCTCCAATGTAGGGGGCTATATTTCCCGATCCTAGACTATTAGAATGTCAACCTCATGCTCCCCTCAATGTGGATGTAATAGTTGCTCCTTAATCAGCATTACCACCAAAAGTATGCTTGAGCACAGGTCAGGGTGACCTGAAAATCCACTGTTTTAAACGCCATTCTCCCTAATCGTAACTGTTATTACACTGCAGTATTTTTAGAATTCATCTCTGGTTTCACCACACCTTCAGTTAATACAGCAAACCCAACATTTTTCTGTTCACCATGTTCTACAATACTTTTTGTTCCAACTGGCAATGCTTTCATCTTTTGTAAAGAAGGACGGTGCCTTATCGGACCAGCTCACATAGCTGGACAAAATAGACAAGTTCCAAGCTCAGTCATCCTTTAACACATACTGAGTCTGACATGCATTCTACATTTCATCTTAAATTTCAGATTTTATATGGACATTTGCAAATTCTGTTTTCTATCCCGTATACGTTGTGTTACGATAAACGAAGTTAAACATACCTCTTTTTCTTCTTGCTTCCTTGATTTCTTCACACATCTTATTAAATTCTGGATCCAGTTCAGCAGCAATGATAGCATGAGCAGTGTCCTTCAAAGTACAAGCTCTATGTCTAATTATTTTATCTAGAAAACAGGACGGCACACTTCTTAATTTTATCACAATTATGCAAATTCTTTACCATTTTACGTTGTTCTGTATTGTATATTACAACACTGATATAGACAGAAGTAACTGGGAAATACCACAAATGCATGAAAATGTACATGGATCATCACCATAGCATGCTCAAAAATCACAACCCAGCTATTTAAGAGATACAGGAGTTTTCAAAAGTACAAATTGTTACTTTAATCAACAGTGGCATTTATAAACAAATGCAAACATTAAATGATGAACACACCTAAATCAACTTGCAATCCTTAGAAACTTGCTAGAATCAGCAAGTGTGCCAGCTTCTACACAGTATAATGCAGTATAGTACAGAGAGTCCCAAAAGTAACAGGAGACTTGTCCAGGAATTAATTTACCCACTGGGGTCTAGGAACATTCATACAATTACACTGCCTGCAAAATCATACTGGACGTCTCCTGAATCTGTAAGGTAGACCTGGCTTGCCTATATTTCTCCCAATTGGTTTTGTTTGTTTGTTTGTTCTTAAAAAAACCCTTAAATTATTGCTTAATTTTTATTGAGTAACTGCTAGAAAATTCAAAATTGTGCTAAAACAGGTTACTTTATTGCTTGTATTGAATAGCTATTTCTCATTTTAATCCGTTGAGAAAAACTGGCAAGAAACAAGCCTTGAGTTTGCTACATGTTCATCTCTATTTGGGGAAAAGGACAAAAAATATTGCCCACACTGGAAGCCTAAATGTGACTCATGAAAAAAACATTTTTTCAGAGAAGAACAGTTCCTACACCTTTGAAACACACAAAAGAAATTATTCCAATGATGCTGAATTTTGAGAAGTAATTGTAATTTAAGAAGCCCATATGTGGAGAAAATTGACATCTAGAGCGTTGCTTTTCAATGAAACCTACAACACTCATTGTTTGCTTTTAGCACAAACATATTTGATTTGTCAATTCATCCATACTGAATTACTTTTTCCAGCTGATGGAGGTACTTCAACAGCAAACATCAACACTAACGCTTACAACATATTATACAATTAGCAGATTTAATCTGTGTTAATAATCACTAAAGACAACAATTAAGAATATCAGTGAACACTTATTAAACAAGGTTTATAATTCTAGAAACAGGAAATTTTACAGCTGGAAAAACTGCTAAGTGAAAAAGAGTATCCAGCTCAAATAAGCTCTACATATGTTTTCTGGGGAAATCTACTGCCACTTAAATCAACTGGAAACTAGAAATATTTACCCACATTTATTTATGAAGCATTATGTTTTATGATCACAAAAAATACACTGCATTCTTTGCAGATGTAATTTTGCAATATTAGACCTCAAAAAGCTGGTCAGATAATAAAGTTTAAGATGCCCTTGCAAAACAAATAAAGAGGAAAAAAGGAGGAAAAAAAAAAATCAAGAGTATTTGATTGAACTACTACTTTCCTCATATCCTGTGATGGGCAAGACTTTCCCACAGACAGTGCTTCAAAGAGGCAACTATTATTAGGTCTAACACGCAATGGTTATGTTTCCAATACCGTTTAAGAACATTTCCTGACCAAACAGTGGAGAGAAAGGAAAAAAACAATCTTACTATATAACCTATCTGAAATTTTAAAGCAAAGTACCAGGGGCAGGGGAAAAAAAAAAACAAAACAAAACAAAAAAAACTAAAACAAAACAAACAAAAAAAACAAACACCAAAACAAAACAAAAACCCCACAAACCAAAGCAGCCAGCTTCAGGTATCTGCACTGCATATAAAACCAGCTCGTCTGGTACTGCTACTGCCTTTCCAGCTGAACGACAGGGCAGAAGCAGGTACAGTATAATTCTTCTGCAAATTCAAGCATGAAGCAAAGGCAAGCATATATGCCCAGCTCAAAGAACGTGAGCATTTACAGGTTAATCTTCAGTTAATGCACCTGAACGCATGTGATTCTTACTTGGAATAGACACGATGTGCTGTTTCAGCAGTGTATTCGTACAACAGCTCAAGAAACCTTGCACGCCAGGAGAGCAATACACATCATCAGTTGTTGACAATGCAGAGGACAGAACTATCTTTCATTACCTACTCAACGATGAGAAACTCCAATCCAAAACTTAACGTAGAAATAGCCAGATCCATTTTTCCCAGCTCAGTCCTGACAGCAAGGAAAATCAAAAAATACCCCTATTTTGGTTCCCTAAATATATTTCTTAAGACTCTTTCTCTTTGGACAAGCACAATGAAAACTTCTGCCACTAAATGCTCCCCAAGCTGTCTCTTCTATCTTATTTTCTGACACACTGAACCTGCAACTTGTGTTGTTTATGATCCAGAGCAGATCTGACCTGAAGTCTATAGTCCCATAAGACCTGCTCTAAAACTTCAGAAGACCTCTTCAGACTACATTTCTTAGAATTAAACAACCAAGCCCACAGATCCAAATTTGCAAATGCCTCAGAAAATCAAAAATTTGAGAAGCAAGAAAAATACAGAAAAACAGGCTTTAACCTGGTAAAATGATTTCACAAAACTCAATGAAAAACTTTTTAACAGCTTGGACGACATTTGCAGATGGACTCAGATTTCCAAGTATCACACACATAAAACACAAGTACATTAAAAGGCTGCTTTTTTGTTGTTGTTTTATTGATGACTCTTGAAGCTGCCAATTGAAAGGCTTTCTTTTGGCAATTTACACCCTAAGGCAGCCCTAGTGAAGAGCACACAAGATGTTCTTTCCTTAGTTCTTTCCTTAACCATGAATTTGAACTTTTACATGCATTTCAATCTACAAATTCCAATTTAATTGAAAGCATCCCATTGCACTTTGTCAAGAAAATACCTTCTAATCTCTCCTAATCAGCTGCAACTGACTTTCTTGCCTGACAATTTATCCTGTTTTACTTCTATCCCCAAATACATAGTTCTCAATGTCTGTGTGTGAATTTCATGCTCTAAGCCAATGTGGAAATAAAGGAGGCCACTGCCAGATTGCGTGCAGGATTCTCTACAGAGCTCTCCAAATTACATTGGGGTTTTGTTGCATATACAAAGTCTATTCACTGAAAAGGAGCTATCAAATTCGAAAAGGAACTACAAAGCCTAATTTATTAGAAAACAACTCGGAATGCTGTAGTACTTCTGCTCTTAAAATGTCCCCCAGTGCACCACATGCCTCAAAATACTAAAAGCGCAGACCCTTAGGACTTGCTTATCCTAATTATCACAGAGCATGCAGTTTATTTAAATGCCTGAATAGTAACCAAACACGAGATTAAATACCAGGCCTTCGGGTTGAGATACATCAACAGAAGTAGGTCCTTACCTCCAGGATCTTTGTCTGGATTGTACTCCAATGCATTGCTGCAAATCAGGTCAATATCTGTCAGGAAATCCTTGGCTGTTAAGTAGTTGTGTTTATCAATTTTGGTTATTACTGTTGATAGGTCCATTGGCTCTTTGATAACTTCAAGGTAATCTGAAACCTACAAACAAACAGTATACAGAAATGACACAGGACCATATACATTCCATTTGAACACTGCCAATTTTACATCTTTATATTCATTCCATATGCTTAGCTCTAATACATGAACTAAACATTTTGATTTCTAAACAAAATTATGTTGAAAAAAAAGTTTTATCAGACTAAATAAAACACAAGACTTCCAAAGCTACTTTTTCTTCAGTAGCTCATCAGATTCTCTTTCAAAATTAAATTATTGTATTTTTGAGGCAAATAATTTTAATGTAAATGGTTTTTTAATTTTATTTAGTCAGATTTTTTTTTTTTTTTAAATGATGATATAACACTGTGTTGGGTTAGAAAGGCAAAATCAATAAGCCTAACTCAAAACACTAGGAAAAACTAGGGAAGCTATATTTTGTTCACCTTGTAGGTAAAGTTCCCATTAAACTGAACAGTCAAATTATCAGCTTTTAAATACCTTCTATTGAATAGTTCCTTCAGTCACTTGTTCAACAAAAAAAGTCAGGTTTTATCGACTGAAGATGTCAGACTGACTGTTCAGAAGGGCAGTCTAAAGAGAAAGCCTTGTGTCAACAGTTCACAGCTTATTATGAGCTTAGCTCATAACTGGAGATTTAGCAATCACTAGGGTACACTAAAAAGTATTTAATGTAATTAATGATACCATAAGGGTCTCAAGCTTGATAGTCAAATGCATCAGCACCGCTGCTGTAACAAAGTTCACTAAGAAAAAAAAAAAAAATCTTTTCAAGGAAAAAACCCCTATACTCGAACGTTTCAACATGACTAAGATTACTATCAATTACAAGTACTGGCAACCTCAGAAACCATATCGCATTTTTTCTTTTGAAATTACCCATGTATGATGGTGGCTGCCAAAGTACTGAAAAGTTAAATACATATTCAGATCAAGTCATAAAGGCTCCATAAGATTTGTTTTTAATAAAGTATCTGCAGGCATTCGTACAAAAATATATTACAACATAAACTAACATTAATGCATTACTTCACGGGACAGCAGCCTATCAACTAATTCCTTAAATACACGTATTGAAATTTATGATGAAAACTTAAAATTGCAAAAATTCTCTTTTTGCCTCCCTCTACGGAAACATGATGATAACTGGTTCAGTGATTGGAAAGCCAAGCCACAGGCTTCTTTTTCTTGTTAGCCATCATCAGAAAGAATCTTCATTGCAAACTGTAAACATTGCTGCTGAATTAGTCAGGAAAATCTTTGACTTATCACATAGCAGCATTCTCTGCAACGCAAGTAGGAGTGGAACAAACTTAACACGTTTTCCAAGAAAGTCAAGCAGACAGGCTGTTATAGAAAAGGAAAGGGTAGTCTGGTGCTCAAATGCACCAGGTGGGATGAAAAGGATCACATTTAATTTCTAGTGCTGTGATACATTAGCAGGGTTTTTGGCAAGTCTTTAAATAATTTTGATCCTCTCCATGTACAAAACAAGGACGGTAATTTGTTCTTTCCTTACATGCCCTTACTTACATAAGTTTAGACCACAAGTTCTTTGGGGAAAGCAACCGCGTTACAAGAATGAAGAGTTTCCAAGTTTCCTACAATAATGGAGCTCCCAAGCAGTTTCATAATATAATCCAAAGTTACTGTTCAGACCGTGCTCACAGTGTAAGTTGCCACATTAAAGAGCTCTTGCCAGTCTTTCAAAAACAGTCAGCTACCGACCACTATGGAAAGCTCAAATTAAGAGGACTGCATGGGCCCATAAAAGATGCCTGAATTTACACTGCAAATCTGCTTTTTACAATGCTGTACTCTCAATGTCCCGTATTCATCTCTTAATGTCTTCCAAAAGAGACGCTTCTCTTCAGAAGCAATTAAGCATTTGGTTTTTTTAATTAGCAAACTTGCAAAGCTTGCAGTGGGCCAGCATCGGATCTCAAAGTCAGGCTGAACACAACCGTATTCATACGGCAGCACCTGAAAATAGATTTGCAGATCAAACTGTCTCATCAGTTAGGTGTGCATGCTCCATAATCGACCAGTTAATGCCTTATAATGTGCTACCATCTGTGATTAATGGCATCCACAAGCACTACTGCTGAAATTATTCAACAATACTATTAATGCTGAATACATTACAGAACACAGATCACTTTCCCAATATTATCAAGCCTATGATTACAATGTTGTAAAAGCTTTTATTAAAGAATTATATTTATGGTTTGAAATATTTCAGGAGCACTGGTAGGGATAGGAGTGATGGCATTTTTAAATGCTGATTTCAGTTATAAAATTGACAGGAATGCACAAGGTTTTTCAATAGGTCACTAGTAGCCAAAGAACACGCTCCAACTCCTTGCATCACAGATGATGAGGCTGTGACTATCTCAAAAGCTAAAAATCAGCATTTTACATTGGAAAGATCACGGATCAAACACCTATTTTTCTTATTAACTTATCCATTTCCTTTTTTAAATTTATATTCTTTTTCTAATTGTTTCAACTTCATTGTTTGCACATTACTGAAACAAGACCTCTTCAATATCCACCGGTTTGCTGAAGATGTTAAAGCGTTTGTCTGTGGCCAGCCTCTTGGTAACATCCCTGAGAAACAACCGCAGCTCTCTCAATGTGTTCTCTTCCTGGTCCTCCATTCGCTGTTTTTCTGCTTCTGATAGCTCTCGGGCAGGACATGGTAGTGCAAGAGGAAGAACTTCCAGAGCACGAAGAGCTAGGGAAAAAACCAAGAAGTCAGACAACAGAAACAGTAACAACACAGTGGCCCTTGAGATGATGCCACTCCAAATTTCATTATATCTTTAATCTGCTTCATCGATCTAACTATCACCGCATCCTTAACCCCGCAGCTCCCCATTTTCCAAAACTGATAACTAATGCACGAAATTCATTCTGGGCACTGATTAACACTATCAAATGTTAATTACACTAAGTGTCATTTACCCACACTTTTTGAAAAAGGAAAATATCACAAAATACAACATTCAGATCATATTATTATTGGTTTTACTGTAACTTAGTTTACCAGCCTGTTTCCTTCTTGGTGGGGGCATTGCTGCCTCATCAAGAATTAACCCTTTGAAAAATCGCAATCTGTCTTCTTCACTTGGTCTCTGAATATAAAAAACCTCTTCATACTGGATTCTGAAAATACATTTCACCTAAAAAAAAAAAAAAAAAAAAAGAGCCATATGAAAACTGAGCCCCCCCTCAAAAATACATGAGTAATGACCATATTAAAACACGAGTCACAAACTTTTCAAAATCAGCCACAGGCAAGAGGACAGTAAGCTCTACCCAAAGCTGTGTACACAACCTAGAGAAAACAAATACTTCTAATTCTCACTGAATTTTCTCTAGCACCTAAACTTGCAGTATCCCAAGGTCGTAACTACGGCCACCTCTGAAGTGAAAGGAAGAGCAGAAAAAAAAAAAATCAAAGAAAATGTTGGGGAAAAAAACAAGAACTCCCCTCCCCCATCCTTAGCCTCAGAAGATGTAAAGCTAAGGTCAGGCCTTGAGACTAAACCTGCATTTTATTATACTGGAGTAATTTGTCAAAATGAACAGCAAAACAGCATGGAGATTATGAAAATCAGTAACATGGACATACATCCCTCATGAAGGAAAATTACAAACATTTAATATCACATTTTCAGTTTGACATATTTCGAATTAAGTTAGAAAACCATGGCAAAACAGAAAGCTTTTACATGATCAGAATGTTCTGAAGCTCACATACCTCCCTAGCAACACCTCCTTCCACAATAAACTTACCTCTTCAGGCAATTCACTATACATGGACTCAGAGGTAGACAGGAGAAATATAGGGGAGAAAGATGGTATATCTTGCAGCAAAGTTAGAAAAGTAGCTCTCACAGTTTCACTGACAGCTTCCCACCAATCACCAATATGAGGCATGTAAACAATACTTGGTACTGTTCTTCGAGCTTCACGAAAGATCTAATTAAAAAAGAAACAGTGGCATTTAAACTAAGAAACTGATTGTTATTATCACTTGTAACAAAATTCTTGTGGACTCCGAAATGACTCATGTTTGTGGTATTCTGTATACAAATGTTCCAGTAAAATAAAATTATCTAATGCTAAAGGCTTTCTAACAAGTGTTTGTGACTGCTAGCTGTGTATCATTCAACTATTTTACATCAATGTGCTAGGGAGACTACAAAACAACCACTTGTCTTATATGTTTGAAAAACTTGCTAAGACTGAACAACCAAGATGAAAATTAAACTGGTTTGCAATCCATGCAAAATCCACTGCAAACTGTTTTGAAACCTAAAATACTTAAAACTAATTATACGAACCTAGAACCACAGCACACCAACTCACGCACAAGCTGATAAAATGAAAATCAGGAACCAAATATCTAGATTAAGCTAACTTGACATTAGCGATGTGACTGAGGAGGCAAGTTAAAAATGTAATTACTCTCACTAGCCAGCAGAGAGATCTCAGTCACTCTCCAGAGACCCCTTTCTTTTAAACGCTAAACCAGAAGGTGCCTATGAAAACCTGGCTTTTAAGTTACATTGCAGTTAGCTGCCTTTATATTGCTGCAACTAACCTGTTCCAGAATTACCTAATTTACTCATTACAAGAGAATCTGAAATGTCACCTGTGCACATGATTCTTCAGGCGTTTTGGCACTGACTGAATAAAGTGCTGGCAGATCTAGCCTGTGTACAGAGAATTTTTCAAGAGTGTGCAATAGTGCTGGAGCAAGGTGCGAAGTCTGACCCGAACCTCTCTCTCCAGATAGCAGTAATCTTGGTCTGTAAGAGGTTGGCTGGTGATAAGCTGACCTGCAACAGAGGAACAGTTATAAAATACAATTAACATGCCGCTGTTATCAAAGGATGGACACATAATAAGATATTTTAGAATCCAAAAGACTTTCAGTAATGGGTAAGTTTCCTACAATAAAAAAAAAAGATTCAACTAACTCTACTATACCTTAACACTACTCCAAGTCTTAGTAACTCAAGCTTTGTCTATTCTTTGATTTCACAACAATTTAATTCAAACTCATCTATGCGAAGCTACGCACATACTAAAATCATGAAAATTTTTATTATAACCAGTTTATTTAACAGCAATTCCTTGATCATACAAAAAGACTTAATGGACTTCCACTGAATATACCAATCTAATCATGTCTAGGTTCAGTCCTAACTACTACAGCATCTCTTCAGTAGCCTCAGGAATCCCAGGTTAATCCATTCATCCCTTAAGTGCCAACCAAGATTTCCAAAAACCACCTAACATTTAAACACTTTGTTTATTTAAGAAACAGGACCTGAAGGACAGCTGAATAACATCACTACTCATCTTCTATTCTAGCATATTCATACACTTCTATTCAGTAGATTTCCAGGCAGAAGAAAGATTTTAAAGGAAAAACTGCAAAGGTAAACTTATTGTTTGGTTTTGCTGTTGAGAGCAATCCTAAGGAATCCATACAAGGATGGGGGGGTGTGTGTGTGTTTGTTTTGGGGGTTTTCGCCCTGTTTCAGGGAAGAGTGAGACACGAAGAGAGAAGCATTAGGTTTTTCCATCAAAAGTCTTTCCAATTTATAGAAAATTGACTATGAAACAAGAAAGCTTTTAATTAACTTGCATTTTCTCTCATTAAGGCATTTTTAGCTGCACATCAGTCAGCTCGGGCAGTGAAACAAGACTGCCTGCTTTTATTTCAGGTTAAATCTTTTGTAACAGCTATGAACATTGTTGACCTTTGGCTTTTCAGTTCTGGCGGTGGTGGTTACACACACAGATAGCAACGAAAAATGCTCAGGAAGATAGCTTAAAGGAGGCTTACCTACTTCACAAAAATAAACGTACCCTTCAAGATGGCTTCATTTAGACACACAGGCACACAAATATACATCGTTGTTTTGGTTTTGGGTTTCCCTCATCCCGATCTCACAACAAAACCTTAAGTTTGGCATTAAAAGACTTGACTATGTACCTCAAACTATTTGAACTTAAATCCGTATTTTTAAGCTTAGATTTCCATAAATGCTGCTCTGGCATTACTCTTTAGCAAAAAAACTTTAGTAGTTTTCCACAAGATGGCTCTCCTAACCAGTACTACTACTGAACAGTTTTCCTAACCTCATTTTCTTTATCTAGCAAACTCCCTCCAGAACCCGTCACATAAAGTAGTCCAAAACTATTCTCAATACAAAGCAAAGAGATGTTAGTTTATTATTAATTACTGTAGCCAGTCCAATTTATATAGGAAAGAATCATCCAAATTTCACACACACTTTTCCCATTTTCCCTAAACTTTCCATGAAAAACAATGAAAAAAAGATGTTAGAAATGCTGAATGCATGAATTTTAGAATGCATCCAAACAGCTGCATACGCTGGAGCTCAACAATACTTTACACTGAGAAAAAGCAAACAGTCCCTCCAAAATATTCCTACATACCTTTCTTCCCAGTTCTTAACCTTTCCAATCAGAACAGCTTGTTACAATTAAGAATTGCTGTTAACATCCTTATTTCTATGCTACATGTGTCTGTTGCAAAATATTTCTGACTACTGTTTCTAGGATGTGGCCTTTCCTAAGACCATTCACATATCTGAAGCTCTTGTCCACACACTTACGTGTTTCTGTCACAGAACACCATTGCCACCACAAAGCAAAAGATCATCTTTGTCACCTCTCCTGATGTAAGAATTTCATGGTTTTATCTGTCTGGTTATACACATTTAGAGAAACACTCACGTTGTAAAATGAAGGTAGGGTTTATGTATAGCAGCTGATGACTGTTTCTTTGGTGATCCCGAGTGACAGCTCGTCTCAAAAATTGATGAAGCATTCTCATCTTCACTATCATCTAATATTAGACTTGGTACATCTGTTCCAAGAAATACATTAATTAAAACCTTATCGCTTCTAAGTACAACAAACTAGAAAAGACATTATAATTTTCTTCATGGAAATTATAGCACATTTTCAAATGTAGGAAAAAAATCAGTTAAAACTGTCTAAATATCAGAACACAGAATAATTACTTATTATTTCAAAAACCAAAACAAATTAAATATTGTAGAAGTCTAATATAATTACAATTTACTTTTTTAAACCATCAAGCAGAACAACTTCACAAATACAACAAACGTTTAACTTGTTATGAAACGCTTCCTTTGATTTTATGTCACAGCTAGAGGTTTTTCAAGGACAAAGGTATAAAATCTGTAATTACTCAGACTACATAGAATTTTGTACTTATTTATTTGCCCTAAAGTGCCTAAATTTTTACAGGTACACTTCTTCCAAAATTATTCTCAGCACGACTACCTAGACAAACTATGTTTATGAAGAATTGTTTTCCACCCTCTGATAATCTGCCAAAGAACATCAAATGACTTTTCATCAAAATCAGTTCAATTCATTCCATGTTCATATACTACACTTTAACCTATTTTAATTCCTTTGCTAATATAGTAGCATAATGAACTGAAGTACTTTATACATAAACCTTCGGAAACAAAACACCTAAGAGACCGATGACATTCAAAAGAGAGACTGCAGGGACAAACAACTGCAAAAAATATAAATACAGCACTAAAGCAAAACAACCAGTTGACAGTTGAAAATCACGTACAGCTAAATTAGCTACCAGAGCTGCAACAGGATTAAGAGCAGACTGCTGCGATTTGATAATGGGGAAAAAACTGCTGCAAGATCTCTATTTGCCCCAGGAAAGGAGTTTAGTTCATGTTACCCTAAGCAAGACACTCCTTCTCATTCCCATAGAGAAATCAGTCCACACAGATGGGATGAAAATGGTCACAGCCGTGCAGCTGTACAGTAAGAGCGGCGCAGAGGCCAGGTCTCCTGAGGAACAGAACGCTCTGCCATGGATGGGCAGCATTTTTCAGAGCAGCCCAGTCACCGCAGCACACTGCTGTTCAGAGCAACCACCGGGCAGCCTAACAGTAGCTCAAGCTGGCCACAGCCACTTAGAAAAATGGACTGCTGTGAAATGAAAGTGGAGATCAAAGCGTTATTCTCAAAGATAGGACCCACTGCATGATTTGCCTGATTCCCATGAAGACTTAGCACAAGTCCTGCTACACTGATCAAACCACCACCACGAGACAAAGGAATCAACTTCAAGGCAGTGATAAGCGTTAGATGAAGACACCATCTGAGGTCTGTGCATTTAGAGATACAGTCTCTGGAAAAATTATTAAGAGACAACAAAGGTTCCCTTAGTTGGCTGTATGATGTAAGGAACTGGATACAGCATAGGCTGGGCCGGAATAATATTGTGCTGGTGTGGGACGGGGACGTGCCACATTCCTTGGCAAGGCATGATGCAGTTACACACCTGACAGTCACTCCTCAGGGGGAAAAGATAAAAAAGGCTTGCAGGCACCAACCAGTGGCCAAAAGTTAGTCCATAGCAAGAAAAAGCAGATCAGAAGCTGCCGGACATTTAGCTCTGGGCAAGGATAGAGGCCTTCAAATCAGCTGGACATAGGCCTCCTAACTCTTGCCTCGCTGCAGTCCCTAACAGGCAGAGGTTTTGCTATACCAAATGTAGACCATAGGGTGAGTCCTATGCTCATGCACTGGACACAGCTTTCACTTCCTAAAACACATAATTGTCAAAAAAAGGCAGCCCATCTTTTCATCCCAAGCATCAAGCCTCTGCAACATCCTTTGCTTGCTTGCCTGACTCACTGAATTACAAGAAACAGGAATCACTAGTGAACTGCAAAGGCATGTAGCAATCTAGATTTGCAGACTGCAAGCACACCAGTAAGCATCGGCTACATATCTGGCTCTTAAATCAGGAAAAACTGAAGCCCTAGCATGTCATCTACATTTAAAATCATTGTATGTGAAACTGGATTTTGCTGTTCTTAACGCAGACTAACCTTATTATTCAATGTTTTCTCGGGTTTAAGAGGGTAAGAAGAAAAACTAAGGTACAGAGGAAATGTTAAAAGAAACCTTAGTTCATCTTTCTTCAAAATCAATTATCTACAAACATTTAAAAGTAGCCATAGCAGCAGAATTATCTAGTAAAACTATTATTTAAATCAATGAATGCTTCCAAACTCACTTTGTTAGCAATAATGAGCAGTCATAAATACAAACATAACATACGTAACCAAAGAAAATATCCTGAACTAGAACTTCACAAAGACAGGGACACCTAATTCAACTCTTCAACAATAATGACAATCTCTAAATTGGGCATTACCAACAGTTTACCAGTATACAGAGAGACTTAAGCATCTTAAACAACTTTGGTTATGAGAGTCTAATACAATCGAGGGAGCCTAATATGACCTAACTGCAGCTGCAAGCCAGCTCACTTCCCATACCCACCACCACACGCTCCCAGGCCGCATCTCATGCCAACTCCAACACTTGTTAAAACCTCCAGCTATCCCACAGTCAGCAGAAAACTAACCCGACAAAAATACATCATTCTTGGATGAGTTTTCTGGCTAAAATGGTTTAACAAAGGGCCTGACGTACTTGAGTAAGTGGAAGGGATAAAGCAAAAATGCACAGCTGGGCTGGAGAAACTGCAGCAGCCAGCACAAGGATCAGCTTAAGCTGCCTGGGCTGCAGTCTGAAAGTGTGCTCTGGAATAGGAATGAAAAGAAATTCATGGCTGTCACAGATCTGCTTTATGACTGGGCTATTTCCAAGTTCATCACACACAACCACAAGAACTGTTTACATAGTTGGGGGAAAAAAACAGGGTGATCCCAGATAAGAACAGTATGTCAGAACAAGTAGGTATCAAAACCAAGGCATCTTGTTCAACCTTTAACTTCCAAGAAATGACCAGAGTAACTATTGAAGTACGGCTCAGAGAAGAGCTGGGTAAAAAACCCCAGAACCTATTGACTCACTGCCAGCCAAAACAGTCGGTTGCGTTCCTTCTTCCTCCCTGCTTCCTCAATGCGCTCCCACTGCTCCCACTGCAGCAGCGTTCTGGCACTCATCTGACCCCTTAGTGAGTTGATTTTACTCACTAATTTGGCAAAAAGCTAACTTGACAAAACAGCAAATAGTTCTCCACTTGCTAAGCCAGTAGAATCAACTCGGAGGATCAGGAGTGCATCAGGCCAGTTCAATGGGAGGGAAACCTCAGGACTTTCTCCTTAACCAGTAGATGACCATTACACAGGCTCAGGTATCTCGGCTAACCCAGTCTCGCCAGCTGTGCTGCAACCTCCCCATAGCACTCCTTAGCAGCCTGCTTCTGCACCATCAACAAGCAAAGGACTGGGGACAGCTAAGTGACTTTCAGGACAGGACCACCAATTCAGGTCCAAACACACTGAGTGAGCAACACTATCTCACTATTTTCTTCCATTCTGCCATCTGATTATGCCCCATTATTTCTCACATTTAAATTGTAAATGACTTGGGCGTTCTCCTTTTTTTCAGGTGGCACTCACACTATTGGATCTTCACTTATATAGGTCAGTTTATTAAATTCCACAGCAACCTGGAATCAGCAAAAATAATTACACAACACCCAAGCAAACTGTACTAACAGTGTACTAACAACACTGAACCAAATACACATCAGGTTTAAGGCTAGCAACACAAGAAAGCCAGCTGAAATATCTCCAAATTCAAACAGCATTTGCAAAAAAAAAAAAAAACCCAAACCACATACCTTCACTTTTGTCACCCTGGCTAAATTCAGCATGAGGAAATACTTTGTGTAAAACCTCAAGAAGCTTAGTGAAGGTACGTTCCAACAGTGGTCTGATCACAGGAGATAATGCATGTCCTGAAGATGTCACGGCACGTTGGGAAGCAGGCACAATATTCTGCATTGCATGATAAAAATCCTGTGCACTGAGAACTACTGAAGAAACATCAAGCTGTAGTTTCTGACTGCTCACATAAATCTGGGGATAGCGTCGTCTCAGGGCAATCAAGGCAGCCTCAGTGCAAAGTGCTTTTATGTCAGCTCCACAGTACCCTAGTGCACACAAAAACAAGAATGTCTTCCATGAAATAGCATTGCTGTGCTCCATATATTTCAAATGTGCCTAAAGCTAAAACGAATCAGTAAGACTTAATTGTCAAGGTCCACAAAGCATCTGCCAAAAGGTTATCAGGTCATAATCCAGTGACAGTGTTGTGTATCAAGAAATTATGTACAGGTATATTGGAATACAGTGAGAAAAGAATTCCACATTGAGGTTAAAATGACCTACGTTTTCACTATATAGTATGATATACAGCATATTTTCAGCCCAGGGTTATACGCCCATCATCACTCTTTCTTTTTCCTTAATATTGTCTAAAGTATGTGTTCTGTTTTACAGTCTAGCCCCTCTCCTCCTTTTTTACTTTAATATCTCTACATGAATATATTTTTAATAGCAAAGTAATTTTGTTATACTGGATGAACATCACCGACTAAACTTTTACAGACTGAGAAAATGAGCAGTATAAAGAAAAATGTTTCATGAGTAGAATATGGAAGAGATGAAATCTCGTTAAAAAAGCATACTGTGGACTCTTGGAAAAATGTGAACTTTTACTATGAAGAAAAATGTTTCAGACTTTTTAGAATTTCATAATTTTACTAATATAATCATAAGAGTAGAAAAACTATTAAAAACCATTAGAATTTTAATTTAGCCTAGCTTCGTAAGTATCTACAGGTAACTACCTATAATTGCTTAATCATCATTACTGGAAAACACAGATCCGATAATTATGAAATACTGAGAGACTTAATACCTCTGTGTCTTTTTTTTTTTTGCAGTACTAATGGTTTGGAGTTCTTCCCCAGAGCTAGAAATTAGATTTTAAATTTTTCCATCTCTCTCAGCAAGAGACATTAATATGCCACTGTATTTTGTAGCAATGTAACTCCATCTTTCAGAAAACGTAAAACGTTCTTCCAGTGGGAAAACTCTTCTAAAGAGAATATAATCGCTATAGGAAAACGTTTTGCACTGAGGTATTGTCACATACAAGTTCATGGATTTGCAACAAAGTGTTTATAGAAGCTAATTAATCAATTCTTTAGTTAAATTAATCTCGATCAACTTTTTTTAACCAATCAACTTTTTTTCCTCCTCCCTGCCAGGTCTTACACCATCTGCACTTTTTCTACTCTACATTTTTATTGGTCTCTTGGCAGCACCAAGTCCCAAAACTGAAGCCTGCCTTATTTCTCTCTATCCTCTAATGTTCTTTCAGTGCTGCTGGCACGCATATTTTTACGAGATCCATACAGCAACAAGGAACAAAGCTGATTCCATAAACAGTGTTGAAAAACAAAAAAGGAAGCAATTAATATGGAAGAGAGACAGTTTTCCATCCCCATCTATCAGACATACAAATTTGGGGGATAATAATGTAAGATACCAACTTTTCAGTTATAACGATGACTTAAATTGGCTGAGACTTGAAATTCCACCTGAGTTTCTTATATATTCATGAAAGTAATTTTTAAAAAGCAAAAAACCACCCAGATGGAAGATCATCACCAATATCACACTCCTTCTGCAACTTTTAAACTAAGCTTTCCCATTTTATAAAAAGGTTAGTAGCTACAATTCTGTAAACTTGATGAGCACACTGTGACTGTTATCGAAAACGTACGTAGCAATCCACATTCACAAGTTACCTTAAAATAAATACGTGACATTTGAAATATGTTCAAATACATCCATTATATTAATCAGTAGGCAACTAGTTGTTTTCAGCACTAAGGTTACTTATTTTTTCTTAACTAGCCTCCATCATGAAACCAAAACCGTGCAGGCACACTCCATCAGTCATGTGAACCCATCAGACACTAGCTACAGGTGCATCAGAGAAACGAAAACCGAGGTTTTTCCTCTAAACTCTGCTTTGTTCTTTCAGTATCAGATATCACGTTCCCATTTAAATTGATCCAATGCTTATCTAACAAGCATATTGGATTAAACAAAATATTTGGGGGGGCACTAAACCAAAGCTTACATCAAAGATGTGCTAGAGATATACAGCACATCAAATGCCTGTCACTTTAAAAACTAGTTTCGTACCTTTGTGACAAAAGATTCAGCAGCTCAGCAGCTATATCCTTTCCCATTTTTCTATTAATAAATGCTGTAATATCACTTTCTAACAGTCATTTTAATCACCGCTTGTACATCTCCAAAGAATTGCAAAATTAGGAAATAATAGCCTGTAGCCTATTTTTAAAATTAAATTCTCAGGTGATCAGATATACAATTAGTCTCCATTTCTACTTTTCATTTCTCAGGAGCAATTACATTTGAAGACTAATAATTGGTGTCGCTCTCTGAAGGACTCTCTTGTGCATACTGTACACCCATTTCAGTGACAGGAAAACCGCAAAACCCCTGTATCTAGTGAAACATTAAAGAGCTTTTTATTTCTAAGAAGTAAACGTACACTGATTACGAGGAAGAAAAAAAATGAGTGAAGTATTGTCAAAGCAAAATAAAATGTATGATGCCAACAGTAAATAACTTCAATTTATTTTTGCCCAAATTGACACGATAATATAAAACCAAGGTTCAGAGCATTTGCTTCCACTTTTGAAGCATCTCACAAAGGATGTTCAATCTGGCAGAGCAAATGTCCTGGCACATGTTAACTTAGCACAAAACAAATACTCTTGTCAAGTAGCCCGTTTCGTTCTACCCATCACCACCACACTCTGCTAAACATTTTCCAAGCACAGCTTTTAAAGAGCAGGACGGCAAACAAGTGGATTCCCATGTAGGTTTCCAAAGAATGCATCTGATGACTGAAATTTTAAAGCCATACTCTTCCACCTCTACTGTGCAGAATTTATATCCTCTTTAAAATTTCTTCTGCCCAATATCCACCCCAAAAAACCTACAACAAACTGGTACTGAACTGGGTGAAAGGATCTTGACCACTTCTTCCAATTGATGTCGTGCAACTCCCTACAAGTCCTAAAATGGACTGCAGGGAAAGACAGCGAACAACTCTGCAGGATGACAAAAATGAAAAGTAACTACTACTTCGTTTTTTTTCAAAAATTGTGAAAAACACCAACACTCATGCCAGAGCTTCCCCCTCTGTCACTGTATTAGGATGAGAAAGACAAAAACCTAACAAGATATCATTTTGCCACAAAATACTCCTGCAATAATAAGCATGGAATAGAGTATGTTTAACAAGCATCTTGAGCATGACGGTTTGCTTCTTTACAATTCTATTTAACATTATTTAAATAACCCTTATTACACTGTAAAAAGACTCATCTGCAAGTTGACAGATGGAAGAACTCACACTTTTTCAGTTGCTAATATGTTTTGTTTCCTACAAGAATGAGTTAATAGGTAACAGTCTCTCCACCTACGGAAAGTTACCATTCAGAACACTGAAGTAAGCACAAGAGGTAAGAAAGGATTTATAAAGTTCAGGATATCTGGGGCCCACCTCCAGTAAGGCCAAAAAAAGACATAATAATTATTCATGTTTATTGAACGTACTAATAAGACATCAGTGTGCGGTCTTCTGAGCAATTCTATGCTCTCCCCAAGCTGCTTCACTTTGTCTCACACACATCGCAGTCACGCAGCCATTTGGTGAAGCGGGTTCTTTAATTCTCACATACACAGAAATCTCCTAAAAGGTATGTAACCCATAACACCTGGGACACAAAAAAAAATCAACCCTCAGGAAATAACCTATTTTTAAAAAGTCCTGGGGCTTTTTCCTTCTAATTTCTTTGTGATTACACCCCTGGATCTTAAAAAGTTCTGTTGCATGTACACCTGCTTCCCCAAAGTCATCTACTTTGGTAGTATTTCAGCAGTTTTCTTCATTAGGATCCATATGCTTGTATTTAAGTGTTGCCAAGTTTGTTGAACTGGAGAGAGGTATAAACCATGCTGTGCAAAAAGCCTGTCGAGTCTAGGCAGCTTTTACTCGGGAAGAGGGTGTGTTATTGGGGAGGGGGCGGGTGTTTGGTTGGTTGTTTTTAAAGAAAACCCGCACACAAGAGGAAACAGCAGTCCAGTATATACTGTATCAATATGACAAGTGTGCCAATGAGTCCGATTTGCAATGGCCATAAAGAATCTGGAAAGTCTGTTTAAAAAATTAGTTGCTGCAGATTTCACTTATAGAAATGATGAGGCAATCTCAAGATGAAGAAGATAAACCAGTCTTACTTTAGCTGTTTTAGAAAGTCCTTGTAATAGTCAAAAGGTTTTAATCTTGGATGTACGGAAATATTTAAATTCCAAGATACAGAACGGAGACAAGTGCACAGTAGTTGGACAGTAGGAAAGCCAAGGAAAACAGAAAAGCGTATTTCTTTTTGTTAGTTGACTTTTCCACAGAACTGACAGGCTTTATTGAGCACAAAGAATGTCTTCCAATCAAACCTACAAAATGGCTTTCTCTATGGTCTGAAATTTTAAAATACATAGTTGTGTTCTCAATGCAAAAATACGGTGAATTTTCAAAGAAACAACTGGGGTTTATCCCATTTATTCCCCTCTCTCCCACTAAGCAGCACCACGTCTTTGCACAAATCAAGCAGACTTTACATGAAATGGGTTTGGCACATGCTGTCTTATACCCGGCAAAGCTTAAACTGGAGTTTGCTGGACAGTTATGTTTTCTCCTCACCAGAAGATGTTGAGATCTTTGTGCATCAAAAGCGGACGGATGCTGCTTCGATGATAGATGTCCCTGTGGATGAAGAGGATAATTCGGATGTACAGTAGCTGACTGAATGGACTGATGTTCAATTTAAAGTTCTTATTTCTCTGTTGATGGATTCCAATGCATAGATATTTGAGACTGTCCTTTTTCTGAGAACTTCAGTGCTTGTCCAAGCAGATGACTTGACAGAGGATGTATCTTTGCATGACAAATTGTTGAGAAGAGATTGTGGTGTGTGTTTTAGGGTCATTTCCTCTGTTAAATTCACTATAAAAATATTTGGGTTTATTTCTGATTAGCTCTTAAGCAGCAGGTTTACCTTGAACAACCATCCTCCATTCAGTACAGCAGGTCTTTGGGCGCTCCAAAGGTATATTTAATGTACTCATGGTGTGGTGCTTTTTTCCCCCCTGACTATATCTACACTTTGAGGTTGTTCTGTGCTAGCAATCTGGAAAAAAATTCATCTTTAGAAAGGCTGGTTAGTTTGCTGGATTTCTGTCAGAGAAGAGCATGCCAGTCAGTAAAAACAAAACAAACAAACAAAAAAACCCCAAAACAAAACAAAAAAACCCCAAAAAAACCACGCAAGTACTGATTTTCTTTTTTTCCCTCCATAACTAGACAGAAAAAAAACCCCATGTCTCTCTCTCTTCTGTAACACACTAATTTAACAGGAAGTCTACCTAAAGACTCCAATTCCCACTTCATTTTGCTTCTCTTTAAGGGTATGCATTCTGTATAAGGACAGTGATGTTACAGAAAGGAAACATGATTGTATTTTCAAATTACTACTAGCTACTCATTTTGTGTTTTAGTAAGACAGAAGCGTATTTTGTTATTACAACAAAAGAGTGTTGTTGAAAGTACAGAAGTTTAGAAAGGTAAAAATAATAAAATATCTTGATACATTTAACGTACCTTCAAAGCTTTACACAGAAGAGAAAGCATCTATAGTAAAAGTACTAACATCACAACACTCACCAACACATTTTTCAGCCAGTTCTCCTAAGAAAGGATCTGACAATTTGGGGTTCCAATCCCTGGTATGAATTTGTAAGATGTGCTTTCGCGCCTGATTTAAAAAAACGAAAAAAAAAAAAAAAAAAAAAAAAAAAGGGAAAAAAATCAAAATTAGCAAGTCAAATCCATGTCATAATATTTTAAACAAAAATATTATTTCTGCATGTGAATATGAAGTTATTTTACCTGTTTTTGACATGTCATTGAGACACATAAAATCGAACTTAGTGCTCAAAAGTCTCTTAAGAACCAAGGTTTTCCCTTCTTTTTTTGATTTCATATATAAAAGCAGTAACTTTTTCAATATACCAGTTACACATTTTAATAGCTGTTTAATCTACAACATCATTATACGTGAACTGATCAAAACTTGTGTTCTACTAGGAATTACCATAATTTTATTATTTAATTTTTAATTGCTGCACCTATGACGAGCAGCTTCTACAGTCAAATGCCTCACCAATTTATTGCTGAGTAGCATAGTACATACACATGAATTCCAAAACTATTTCATTTTAAAATTCTATAGAATCCAAATACACCTATCAATATGCAAAGTAAATTTAATTATAAGTACAGATTCATTAAATATTATGGCTGAGTTTGTAGGAAGTCTGGAACAAGGAACTAAAATGTTCCCGTTGCCAATATAACAACGTATGGCTTTGCATGTACCATTTTTCTGTGCTTAGCAGTCTACATAATAATAAAGCTATTTTCTCTTACCGTAATGTCCAAACCTCCATCAGTTCAGTTAGGGTTCATTACACAAATCCATACAAAACCACAGACTTTAGATCAGCAATTCAGTTTAATGCAAACAATATACCTCTCTGTTTAAACTACATTCTGAAGATTTGAAGTTCAATAGAACTTTATGGATATAATGTGGTTTTAACTAAAAATGTCTTCTTGAAATTAAACATTCTTACAAGTAAGAATGCATATTTTTATTTCATAAGCTTGGCTGTCAGGCATTAAAACGTTTAATATACTAGAAATGTTTATTAATAAATCTCCTTTTTAAGTTTTACCTTTTGATCAGGCAAGTTGAAAAGAAATTCCCTGTCAAAGCGACCAGGTCTCCTGAGTGCAGGATCTATAGAATCCAGTCTGTTTGTAGCACCAATTACAACTATTTCACCTCTATTATCCAGTCCATCCATGAGGGCAAGAAGAGTAGACACTATAGAGCTAAAAGAGAGTTTTCAAAAAAAGAATGTATAGGGAACACCACAAGAATTTTCACTTTTTCAGCTGCAACATTCGCAATTTCAAAGAAAAAAAGCTGAGTTAAAAAAACCCAGTTGCATAACTGTTTCAAGTCTCAAAGCAAGAAGAAACCTTCTCATACAATCTGTAGTAACATAATATTATGACTCCAGTAAGGATTACATCAAATTCAAACTTCCTCCTTTAAAAGTTTTGGGGAATATGAGCTGAGGAAGCCATTTAGCACAGCTCTGAAAAGTTCTCTTCCATTAACAATGCACGCATCATCCTGTTCAGGGCAACTGTAGCACCAGGCAGGAGAGAGGTGCATCAAGACAAAGCCACGTGTTCCCAAAACCTCCTAGTCTGTTGGCCCCAAAATTTCCCTCCTGTCCCCCTTAGTTGAGCGGAGGGAGGTATACACAGAAATGCCACCACCTATGGAAAGAAAGACACAAGTGCACTGCCATAAAAAGCACAGCAAAACTGAGATTGAAAGCACCCCAGAAAAATTCCAGCCAGCAATAAACTGTTGTAAAAAATGTTTTAAAAATGACACGACAGCAACTCCCAGTAAGTCTGCACACTACGCCGTCCAGAATCAAAATTACAGGGGTGCCCACTTCATTCATAGAACATTACGATCCATCATTTTAGAATAAATTTTTTTTCAACTGGTTATTCTCTTGGGCTGCTAACAGGCAACCTGTTTACAGTACAAAACCAGCAACCAAGAGAAAGGCTGTGGAAATCTTGAAGTTAATGATGTGGCTGAAGGGTATTCGCCACTACAATTCGATTCCCAGCAAATGACAGTCTGTCTGAGGAACTGAAAAGATTACTTTTGACACCAAAAAAACTCAACAATCTGTTGAGTAATCGAGTGTAAGTGGGCTCAAGCAAAAGCAAAAAACTTTCTTGGGAATTGAATAAAATTACACTTAAGAGTTTACCAAGATAACGTAGCGTACACCAACATAACGGCAGCATATGAGAAATATTACCTGTGAATCTGATCTTGTCTACTAGAACGAACTGGAGCCAAACCATCTATTTCATCAAAAAAGATTATAGAGGGTCTCATCAAGTATGCCTGGTATGCAAAAAAAAAAAAAAAAAAATTCACTGTTAATTCGCAATTTATCCACCAACATTGAAAACAGTTTGTTTTTATTACAAATGCTAAACTAACAGATATATTGAGACACCTTTGTTAAAAAGTGTACAGTCTGAAAACTGAATTTTCAACTACAGTACTGTTTCAGACAAAGCAAAAAAAGACTGCATTCTCCTTTGAACAAGCAAGATGGCACCAGTGTATCAGTTTTACTGTGTGTTGGTGAGATTAAAGACAAACTGAGACACCTTACACTCAGTTACAGAAAGCAGTATCTTATCTGCTCGTAACATGGTTGTTTAGACGTCTCTGTCTGAAAACAGCTTTCGTTTGTGCAACTGCGTTTCACCACTTTATGTGACTCTCTCTTCTGTCTATAATCTTCCAAGCCAAATAAGGACACTAAAATACACATATGATCGATGAAATCCTGCATCTTCCTCTATGTAACATTTATCTTGAACGTGCCAGTCAAACTCAAACTCACTGATTTAGATTTTTTTTTTCCAATTTTTACCCAAACTACTTTGTCTTCTTCATTAATCAAGTCAAGAGACTTCTTCCTCTCAGTTTTCAGAGCAAGAAAAACTATTGTCAGCATTCCTCCATTTTTTCATCTAAATGCATGATCTGGACAAATCCCACCCAATCTATGAAAATTTACAGTTATTTAGCTTCAATTGCAAGTAACTTTGGCTGCCTACAACACAAAAAAACAACGTACAGAAAAATTATATGAAAAATATGTATTTTCTTCTAACCTGATCAAAAAGGAGTCGAAGCTGACGTTCAGATTCACCAACCCACTTACTGAGACAGTCTGCTCCTTTCCTCATAAAGAAAGCCACCTTTTTGTCTCCTTGACTGCATTCATTAGCTAGAGCTCTAGCTACCAAGGTTTTACCTGTTCCAGGAGGACCATAGAATAAACAGCCCCTGAAGATAAATGGATCAACACAGTCACAAACTTATTTTATGTCTCCTGAAAAACTCCAAGTCAAATTTTATAATGAAGACAGGGAGCCTGGAGAAGAAAGACTTCAATTCTAGTATTATTATTCAGCATACTCACATGACTTCATAAAATGTAAGTTTGTTTTATGCTTTCAAATCAGTAAATCTTTGCTTTGTAGAGAACGTTAATCAAAGGCATATTAGGCTTCCAAAGCATTTGTTTTACACTAGTTAAATACCTCTTCAAATATTAAATCTTATGTTAATACTCGAACCAGTGTTTGTTACTTCTTTGGAGGACATATTTCTTTTTTCAATGACAAAAATATCACAAAATTTTCAATTTACTTACACTAGTGTACCCATTTAAATCACACACCACAATGCCCAATTTACAAATATTAAACCCATAATCTAACATTACTGAGATTACGGCTATAAAAGAAACATCAGCATTTAGCTTTATTTAGTAAATTATGTCATAACATAATGGAAAAAAAGGCAAGGTGCTACTAAATAGAACACTTGAGAACTCTTTCTTTGACCAAATCAAAGTTTACCTTCCCACCACAAGAAAAACTCTTCATCCTGCTTATTACATTCTGACAGACAAGTCGGGTGGCAAACATGTAAGTCTATTTGAACAGTAAACACTTCAAGGAAAGAATCAATCTCCTATGTTTTTTCAAGTGAAGCACTCTTCAGAGCTTAATAAAATAAAATACAAGAATAAGAATAAATACACCTACCTGGGTGGCTGAATTTTGAATTTTTCAAATATTTCTGGATACAGAAGAGGAAACACTACCATTTCCTTAAGTGCAAGGATATGATGGCTCAATCCCCCTATACTATCAAAACGCACCTTAGAAAAAAAACAAAGCATACAAAGCATATATTGTAACAGCTTTCCACAAAAGTACCTTTACTTATAACATACTTAAAAACAAATTACAAACAGCATTGCATTGAACAGTGGGAGTTCCCTGAATTTTGGAAGTGTAAAAAAAGTCGAGAAAGTCAACTCCTGGTTGCCCACATGAGGTTTATCTGGTTCACAAGTTAACTGGGCCAGGGATGCTTGGACATCTACAGAGATCCAGCCCAAGTCTGACAGCTTTAAGCTCAGACACAGCGTAAGGTGAATACAGTCAAAATACTTCTAGACGGTGGTTCAGCTCTAGTGATAATTCGGCAGCATCTGCACAACACACGCCATAAGCTAACGGGCATTGCTGTTTCTGCACAGGCACAGGACCCACAGGGCTAGCACCAAGTTGACCAGCCCGGGCTCAGTACTTCTGTTTTCTGCTCTGCTCAGCATATCCCAGCTTCTACTATACAAAGTTTGCAATTACTCGTAAAACAATGAAAAACAGTTGGGCAATTGGTATTCTGGCTTATTTACGAGATGTCTGCACCCTGTTGATTACCTACAGGCCAAAAGCAAGTGCTTTGTAGCCCAAAGGAATAAACAGACAACAGCTTTGAGAAAAAACAAAAGCTTATTATGAATTTACTTCAACTCTAATGAAAGGCTGTGGTGAATTCTGCATATGCATAATTGTGGAAAGAAAATAAGAAGTTCTAACAAAACCTACCGATTTATCAACAATCATAGGGTCAACATCAGCCAAACTTGCTCCAACTTTCACACGTTCTCGCAGGATTCCACTAGCTAAGTCTTCTGCTCTAAAGTTTAAAGGTAGGCACCTGTTCAACAACAAAAAAACCCCACCAAATAAATATTGTTCGATTTTGATCCTTTTGCTGGAATGGGAAGAGCCAAGAGATTAAATACCTTCTACAACCTCAAGAGGCAACCTTCCTGGATTGATAATGTAATCACAACTAACCTTTTTATTGTCGTAATTATTCTTGTATATCTGGAAGTTCCTTAAATATAGAGATAGTTTTATGTTTCCATTCAGACATTTCAATCTGGAGAACTAAGCTGGACAGACTATTTTGATTAAACACAGAAGCAGCAACATTGACCAAAGGAACAGGACCCCCTCCACTGACAGTGATGAACTGCGTAAGTTCAGTACAGTAAGAAAAGGATTCCAGTACCAGGAAAATAAGATTTTTTAAAATATAGCTCATTAGAGTCCAAAGAAAGGAAACAAAAATATTTCTTGCAGATGAGCCATAACTCATCCACCCATTTGAGCTTCCTAGCATATACAAAGGAGCTTTAAGCCCCTACACAGGTATTACCTCAGGTCAAATACACAGATAAAGGGAGGAAGAAAGGTACCAGTAAGATACAGTTTGCACTTGGAACTACACTTTTAGTAGTTGTATGCTGCTGGAATTCCTCAGGACTGAAAAGGGAATGGTGTGGCAGACAGGAAAAGATGCAAAAAAGATGAGGAAACAGTTTTTACTCTGCTCAGTTTTCCAACTAATGTATTTGTTGCAGTATGTAAATTTACTCATATACCTTGTAGATCTTCCACTTTTAGATAACTGGTGAATAAATGTAAAGTCAAAAAATTATGTGTTGGCTGCGTAGAAAACACATAGTGTTACAAAACAGGAAGAGAGAAGAGTAAGAGCTAGTATTGGGAGTACACCTGAACTGAGTGGGACCAAGTAACACCAAGAATAAAAATCTATTTTAACTGACAGAAGTTGTTTGTCTCAGAACCCACCTGAATCAAACAGATATTCTTATCTTTCCATATTTTTATCACTATTGTTAATTATCTACTTATAAGACCTCAAAATCCATGTTAATATATAACCAGCATTCCTCCTAAACTTTGTCTGCAGGTAATTACGGGCAGAATCAAAAAATCTGCAGAGTTGATAGAACATTACAGACTAGTTCTGCTTGTTTTCTGATGAATAATAAAAATCAAACTCTCCTAAAGACCAAGGATGTTTTGATACCTATTTCTTGCTCTGGCCATGCTTTTAGATTTTCTTCTTTCAAAACGTTCTTCGTCTGAAGAGGTTGTATCACTGCTGTGAATGGCATGCTTCTTTCTCCTATTGAAGTGGCAAAACAAAGATAAAACTCAGTCCTTTTTGAGTAGAACGGCATGTTCTGATTCTCTTACAGAAACAAAATTGAAACGGCAAGTGAAGTACTGTTCAGGTTTAAGATGCATGCAAATTTTAGATTTATTAAGTATCAAAAAAATCTGGGAGGGGAACAACATCTTTTACTGTCACGGGGATATCTGATTTCAACATAACTAAAACAGTAGATCCCCATATGTGGTCCAGTCCATGTCACCTCAGCAAGTGAACGAAGTATTCAATCAATAAGCTGCTCAAGTTCATCAGGCAGCAACTGTACTTAGGAAAGCTTCCAACTTCTTTAGCCACCTCTAACATAACAGAAATACCAATATCTCTTACTCAGTTTGATGTTTCCCTTTAAATATTCTCTGGAAAAAAAAAAAACATACTTCCTAAAGCACATGGTCTCTTTTTACGAGGTCATTGATTCTGAACAGCAGAACACTTTCACAAAATACCTGTACTGTAGTTTTAACTTCTGAATCTAAGTAAAACTACTATTCAAAGTCTGCATGAACCATTTCTTATTTTAGTATCACAGTATTTCAGAAAACTGAGTATTTCAGAAATATTAGAGAGTGTACATTACATTGTACAAAAAGGTGTTCAGTTTGACAGTGATTTGAAAAAAGTCGGCACTCTTTTTGCAAGAAAAAGTTGGCTACTGGTAAAAATTGGTGTATTTTTTGGGAGTATAGTGAGCTGCAGCATTTGTATGAACATGATAATGCACTGACCAGCTGTTTTTTGCCAAAGGGTTACACGGTTCTATCAGTTTTACTGTTCAATGACCCCAAATTAGATACATTTTAAAATGTATCAAAGAGAATATCATGCAATTAGGAAGAATTTTTATGACAGTGTCCTGATTAGAACAGATTAAAAAAAAAAAAAAGCGTGGAGCAATAAGCAGCTAAACCTGAAGGAGTAATAGGTTTCACACTCTATAGCTTACTAGCAAGTAAAAGTCCTGAGGTTACCCAACAAACTGTCATATGCACTTTAACAAAAAAAAAAAACCCTCTTCAAAATTTAATGTTTTTATTTATATTATAAAGAAACTAGTAGACTCATAAGATTCTGCCATTATTTTATTATTTTTCATATTTTCACTATGCCATTGAATTGAGCAATAAGACAAGAGTTTCAGTGGAGACTAGCACTCATTGACTCAGATTCTGTTCCCGAACAGGTTTATCTTTTTGAAGTTTTGAGTAAGTTTATTTTTTAAAAAAACGTATTAAGCTCTGAACTCATCTGTTTTGTTAAATAAAGCCTATCAACAATTTCCAAGACAACTTGGTGTATTCCAGACTTCTTTGACACAAAAGATGAAAGTCAAAAACTTACGCTTGGTAAGTATTTCCGTAAGTTGTTAATACTATTTGGATTACATTTGAACCGGAACGAAACAAAAAACATTATCCTGATTTGTTTATTTTTGTAGAACAGAAAGGAGGCATTTGTGAAACTGCTGCTCTGGATTTAAACACTAAATATAGGCGCTCACAGAAGAACCTACAGTGTGCAATGCACAACTCTCTCTCCAGCACTCGCAGCACCCATTCTGTTTATCACAAAGCTTCTACTGTTATTATGGAGTGCTATGAAATTCACATTTGTATGCTGACCAGGACCTGAACCTAACATACAATTAGAGACCCGCACATGTGTGTGAATGAACTGTACAACTCAAGAATGCTTTGCAAATCAAAAGCTAATAGAAATATACTGAGGGAAAACAAACAGCTACATACCAAAAGACTGGCATTTACCTGATATGGCTTCTTCTTGCAGGAGATCTGTGAATATCAAACAGTGTATTTTCCCTCTTTTTTTGATGAGCTGGCACTGAGTAAAAGAAGTTACAGGTTTGTAACATCAATTACAAAAGAATAATAAACTAATCTAAATGCAGCACAAAAGTGGCAGATTTTTGCTTTACCAATAACGTTATCAACGGTTTCTCCAAAAGCTCGAATTAAGAAAAGAACTGGGGAGGTGGAGGGAAATCAAACCTCTTATGCTTTATTTCACTATCAGCATACTTGGCTTCATACAGTCACGGGAATTCCACCCACAGCCTCCTCAAATCATCACAGCTATGGCTGTCAGCACAGAATATAATTCATCCAGGGCACTAGCATTTTTAGGTTATTCGCAGGGTATGAAACTCGACAAAGAAACCTCTTCACAGCTGATAATATGGGATGTCTTTATGACAAATTTCTCTTAACAAATAAACCACAGCATTTCTCTATCAGAGTCTTAATTTCCAAGTTGCCTTAAGATCTAGCATACTGCATACACCACTAATCTAAACCAAACATGCACAAATACATTATTTTAAATGTAAAACGTTCAAAACCAAGAGACACCACGCTGAACCTGTATGGATCCCTGACGGAATGTCCTATAAGTAAGGACGCCTAAGGACTCTGGGTTTGTCTAGTTTGGAGGAAAGGAGGCTGAGGGGTGACCTCATTGCTCTCTACAGCCTCCTAAGGAGGGGAAGTGGAGAAGGAGGTGCTGAGCTCTTCTCCCTGGGATCCAGTGACAGGACCTGTGGGAACAGTTCAAAGCTGCACCAGGTCAAACTGAGAATTGACATTAGGAAACATTACCATGAGGGTGGTCAAACACTGGAACAGGCTTCCTAGAGAGGTAGTTGATGCCCCACACCTGTCAGTGTTTAGGAGACATTTGGAAAATGCCCTTAAAAACATGCTTTAACTTTTGGTCAGCCCTGAAGTGGTCAGGCAGTTGGATTAGATGATCATTGCAGGTCCCTTCCAACTGAAACAGTCTATTCTAAATTTCTCATCTAGCAACAACGTAGTAACTGCTGTTCTGCAATTTATCTCCAGTTAGGAATTAGGCTTAGGACCCAAGAAGAAAACAGTTACCCAAGGCGTAACAGTAACTATTTTTTCTATGTAATTACCTGATTTACTAGACTGCTTTCTGAATGCAGCTTCTGTCAACTATTTCTTGACCTAAACCCTCTTCACCTCCGACCCTGAGCCCAGCTCATGGCAGTACTGGCAAAGTTCAACGAGGCAGCACGCACTAGCAATGCCACCACCAACAACAAATTGATAGATTATGTTTCAGTAGTCCGATTCACGTGGTGAGCAAAAACAGAGGCAAGGTGGAAGTCACAAAGCATTGCATGGAAACTGCCAGGGATGAGGAGTAGTCATCCAACTTTTCCCTTCCCACATCCACGGTATTCTTGGAGGTCAGCAGAGCAGAACTCCATGAGCACTGTGTAGTTCCTCACCTATTGGAGGGGCCTGGTATCTTTCAACAGTTTTTCTCTGTCTGAGATTATATGGCCGATCATTTTCTTCTCCCTCGGCTTCTTCTACTTCTATATCTCCATCTTCTTCCTGAGACTCTGTTGGGGGGAAAAAATATTTTCAGAAGACCTCTACTTGATGCCAGTGCTATCTTCATCCTAAAAATTAACATTTTAATGGTCACTGAGAATTATTCCCCTCTTATTAACTGGCACTAATTGGCAAATCACTGGGAATTTGAAGACAAAGATAAATCTACAGCACATTGTCAAACTTCCTTCTAGTTTCCCACAGAAGGCTCTGGAAAAACAACAAAAAGAAAAATAAATGTAGTCAGATTAGTTTTATTTGTAAAGTACTTCAAATATCACTTCTATCCACTCTCTTTTTCCTTCAATAATTATCCTTCAAATTAAGAATAATGCCTTTCTTCTCTTTTCCCATAGGAGCCTCAGAAAAACAAATATTTGACACAGCATGAAAGTAAGTACAACTTTAAAATTCACAACCTCATTTTTACACAAAGCAAATAAACACACTGCAGAAAGGTACCACCTAGGTCCATCTATTAACAGGACTGGAATTTCCATCCATGGATCTCAGAATTAAGACTGCATTCTTCTTAACTGGGACAGACCACATCTCTTACAGCACTTGTCCGTTCAAAATCGAGACACACTACACGCTGAACCTTGGACGGATCCCTGTAGTTTGAGTCCGATTTCTTAAGGAAGCCAAGCATGCTGCTGATCATGCCCATCAAGGTTAGACATGATCCGTTCTTTCTCAATACTTTTTGAACCCACTGGCCAGTTTCATCCAAATTTTTAAAAGGAAGGTAGAATTTCAAATACAGTTAGGTGTCTACAAGCCTTCCAAAATTCAGTGGATGGACAGAAAACAGATACTTTAATTAATACCTTCCCCAAAGGAAGGATGCAGAACTGACCATTACACATTCTTTCTGGTAACTGCCACCCAGCGTATGAGAAATAGCGAGTCAGTTAGAACATGCATAGCTGCAGACTACATGCATCACATCCTGGCTTCCACCACAGGATTGTTACAGGGAATATAAGGAAAGCTCCAATTAGTGTTAGGGAAAACAGGAGTAAAGGAACATAGTATATACACATTTAGAAACCAGGCTTTTTCTGCTACTTTCAGATAAACTTGCTTTTGTTTCAAGAAAACTATGTAGAGATCCCCAAAACTTCTCCTTCTAAAGAGAAGGAATCCTTCAGTGTGTACTTATTCGCAATAGTCTTGTTAATTGGTCTATTTAATAACTCCAAATCCAGATGCAAAATCAAATTACTTTCTGTAGTGCAATAAATTCCTACCTTATGTTGAGGAGAGCTTTGTTTTACAAGTATTTCAGACAAACCCTTACAATTCTTTACAACCCATACCTTCTTCTTCACCTTCTGTGGACACTTCATGGTGGTTCTGAATCCCATAGCTATTCCTCCTCAGTGATTTCCTTCTTCTTTTCACTCGAGAATACATATCCATGTTTTCCTGGAAGAAAATTCATATACACTCCCATCAGTACTGTCCCATGTTACCCTCAGTGTTAGCCCATAGTTCAGTAACACTCCACACATTCTCTAGCCCCCAAATCTTTTTCCAACAGAGCCCTCCATAGACTCAGTCTCATTTAATAGGTGGTAAAACCAGTCTCTCAGTATCTAGTCCATCTAATACATAGATAACATCAGTATCGAGCTGTTTTAGGGAATAACGCAGTGACAGTCCCTGGTCCTGTTTTCAGACTACCAGTGTGCTTCAAACCAAATGAGAATCACCACAGTAGATCATGGGAGCATGGCAGTCAATTCATCAATAAAGAAAGTATGATTTAGTATATATCCATGAATTTTGTTCTGAGTTTGAGTTTATTGATTTTTTTTTTTTATGTTATCCACTGAAGAGGATCCGAAACCTTTCAACAGAGCTACAGACAAATGTATGGAGATTGCAAAAACAAACATGCTCCCCCTTGATACCACTTTTATCCAAGTTCTGAGTCGCTCTGCACTTACGAATTCTGTATCTGTCCACATCCGTAGCCGTTCTACTTCCCCAGACCGCCTATTTCTCCTGATGTTAATATTATCCATTTCCTGTAGGACAGCTTCAGCAGTACTAAAATATACGTAACAGTTAACACACACACACACACACAAAAAATCAGTCTTAAAACAGCAGACATGCAGAACATTTTACATAACATCCAACAACTTAACGTATCTAATTCTACGGTCTGTTATGGCTATTCCAAGGTCTACAAGTCAACTAAATACACAAATGAATTAAAATCTGAAAATTTTAGGATAGCTACTTGAATCTATCCATTGATGACAAAACCAACCATCAGAGAAAACTGAAAGATGAACCTACAGAATATAAACTAAGGTGTATGCAAAAGACAAAATGCTGATGTCATTAAAATTCAGGCTTCAAATCAGGCTGTAGAATTTGAAAAAACATTTTTAAAATTCTTTTTTGCTCAGTGTAAATTGTAGCAGATAAATTTGTAACTGCTTAGATGTCAGATTAGATGTAAGATAATATTAAGTCTGCAGAATAAGAAAGTAAAGCTTTTCACCTACATAATTATAATACTGGGAAAGCAATTAATGCCTCCACCCCATAAGCTTTACAACTTCTTACCCTGGCTTCAGAAAGACATTAATACATAAAAGATTTTTTTTTTCAATGTTAAATCAGTAACAGCTAGAATTTCATCATTCATCTTCTGATCTCACTACCATTTCTCATCTACTATTTAATTAGTCTACATTTTCATTATCTGAAGTATTTGTAAACAGCTGTCAAAACAATGGTGGTGTAGAAATAATAACCTTGGCCAAGATGCTTCATTGCTAAGGAAGAAAACAACAGAGTATTAGCCAGGCCAAGTCAATCACTTGGCCACCTGTCCTGAACATCAAGTTACTGCTCTCTGCGGTGATTATGGCATATTTCCACTGGAGTTCTACTATAATTGTATAATAACAGTAAGAAGGCAGAAACTTTAATTTCCTTTCTTTTGAGCTGTTTAAAAGTAAATCTAAAGGGTGAAATCCTGCCTAGAAAGAAGTCAGGGGAAGTTCTGGTGACAGAAGTCAGTAAAGTCAAGATTTTAAATAATTCTTCTTTAATATCTGCGATGTGTGACATAACCACTCCAAGTACAACCATGCTATAGTTTGCTATCAAAGAAAACAGGGTTGGAGGGGACCTGGAAAAGTCCACCTGCTCTGCCAGACAAGAACAAACTACACAATACCTAAATCATTCCTGACAGACGTGTCTAACCTGATCTTAAAAACCTCCAATGATTACAGAACACACTGTTATCAGTATAAGTTCATATATAGACTTCAGTACCATGATCTTATCAAATTACAATCTTCATGGTAGACTTTTTTCTACTGTTGATGAGGAGAGGGAGATTCAACTGCAACTAGAAAAATAAATGTAACTCAATATAGATTTGTAAACTGATACCAAGTAGTTACTGAGCAAATTGCAAAAGAAAATTAAATTAATAAAAAAGTCAACAAAATACATTTAACAATAAAGATTATATTTAGCAATTAAATGTTTATATTTAAATCATTTTCCAAGCATAGAGCAAGCAGTCTCTCACAGATGTGACTTATTAAAACCTGCTTCATAGGTGGGAAAAATTGAGGCATATTAAGTGACCTGCGCAGGGCCACACAGAAACAAATACTTCAAGAAAAGTATTTCTGGCTCCCATTCCTATGCTCAGACCAGACCGTGCCTCCCTCTCTGACCTACTTTGTCTGCACAGTAAATGTCAAAGTGACACCCACCCTATGTGAATTACTAACAAATGGTAAAAAACAAAAACAAGAAAAAGAAAGCTACAAATTTTTGATATTTTATGATCAAAATCATAGAAGCAAAATCTAGAAAGCTTCCGAGCATTGCTGCTCATCACCAATTTACATCACATTCAGGGTATCACTACATAAACAGGTTACGAAGAAACAAACTAGGGTGTGGATTTACAGCCAGTCTGCCGCTCTGCAGTAACTGCCAACACACACAGTTCTACCCAGGTGTAAACACAGAGCAGCTCACTCCTCAATGACAGTCTGGTAAGTTGCTCTGCCTTTCGAGCGTGGGTAACGCAGGCAGTTACAGCACAGGACGCAGCCTGTAGCTCAAACCACAATCTAGCTTGCCTCGACGCTAATACATTCCCACAGCAAAACACAGAGATGGCACTGGAAGACAGGGTTTTCTAACTTTTTTAAAAAATCATTAAGATGCTTTGTGAATACAACTGAAGTATCCCCACATACCTGTTTACTAGCTGATCAAACAATAAACTCTGATTCAAAGTTTCAAATCTGTTTTTCCTGGACCGACAACTTTTTCTGACTTCTATATCTCCGTTTATGCAAGCATGGTCCCCATCTCCCTTTTTTTCCCCTCGAAGGGGATGGCTTTTGAGAGCTAAGAGAAATTTGTATTACTACTTCAAAATGCAGGAAACAACATTTTCACAAACAAGAATGAATAAGAGAATACTTAGCAAGGACAATAAACCAAAAGTTACGAGCACCCTTATATTCACTAAAGAAATATATCTTTAAAATTCCTATCAAAGTTGTTTTACAAGCTATTTCTTCAGACTCAAACTTGTTTCCTTATATGATAAACTTATTTTACGATGAAAATTTGGCATACAAATATGCATTCAATATTTTTAAGTTAACAACAATACTAAAATGCACACTTGGCCCACAGTTTCACTTTTTAGTCTTTCGAATACAGTATCAAAAGGTCAGATACAACATATTGATTTCACAAGCAAATTTATATCAGCTGCTCTGTACAGTGCCAAAAAAAAAAAAAAAAAAAAAAAGATCCTGCTCTGATTGTTCCTTAGGCACCACAATAAACAATAAAAATACCAAATATGCTTAATGGGTTTACACACAGAATCAACACAGAACTAAACAAGACAGAATTGATGAAAAAGGGACACAAAAGACAAAGTAGTTTTAGCCGACATATGCAATGAGATGTCAAGTTTGCAAGGGACAAGCACATAGGAAAATTGTTCAAGCTAGCAGGAGCGGCAGACAAGGCAGGTCTCTCTAAAGCAATAGTAGAGTTAAGTAATGTTAAGAACCACAGAAGGCCAAATTTTAAATGAGCAAAGACAGTAAGTAAATTAAAGAGACCAGCTGGGAGAGGAAGGCCAAAATTAGTTCATAACAGTAAATTTGGGAATTAAGGAAAACATCAAGATAAGATCATGGCCAAGAGGTCTGAATTGAGAAGAGAAATGGAATTTCATCTAAGAATGTTCCCCATGTCCACAGAGAGCATCCAAGATGTTGACAGAAGAAAACTGAGCCAAAACAGTAACTTTTCTGGTCAAAATGGTCAAGAGTAATCAGTAAAGTTATCAAAAGTATATACAACTGAAAATCACTGACACAACATTGTTAAATGTAAAAGCAGATACAAAAAGGTCTGCTGTAATACTTACATAAGCTACGTCCATTTGGTAGTGTAGCACCAGGCTGAGAAGTTAACCTAGGAAACACATTAGACACACAAATAATGTTAACATCCTAGCAGACAACAGTCCGGTAGAGAATTACAGTCATTCTCACACAGGATGCGTTGCAAGAACTATTTTGATTTGTACATAAATATGAAATACGTATCTACAAAAGAATCTGTTTTAACTGAAAGTTCATGGCCCAGGAACATACTGTCTGCACTGTCTCATAATTACTTGTAATCATGTGAAGAACCTTATGAACACAAGAATACTTTGTAAAATACTATTAATCACAGTTATAAAATGAAACAAATTACTTCTCTTTCAAGTCATAAAAATGTGGCAGGACTGAGGCTGTATTTAATAAAATACAGAAATTTACTTGAGTCCTTATAACCAAATAGGGTAGAGGCTGAAAACAACAACGGAAAGAAACAAACTTGACCATTATCCATTCCCTAAAGATGATAATACTGATTTCCTAATTAAAATGTCATGTCTTCTTATAGCTTGAGTACATAAAAATACCAATTAAGTCACTAAATTCGGATGTATCAAGAGTCTAGAATTCAGACTGCATCTCGAGTAAAATTAACTTTCCATTTTTGCACAAACATGCAGAGAAAGGAAACCCACGTTCCCAGAGCCTGAAACTACAAGAAAATTGTATGAAAATAAGACACTTCAAAAATACACTCTTCAGTGCGAGCTGCAGCTCACTGCAGAGACAGTGTAAGTGGGTTAACAATACAGGAAAAATTGGTAAGACTTCATTTCTCTCTTGGCACCCAGTTACCTGGACTGTCCAGTTGAGATGCTCCATTCCTCTCGCTGCCCAGTACTGCGCGATTTTGATTTGTCTTTGCACACAGGATCAGCATGTTTTGAGGTACGTTTGGCGGGAGGAGATATGTGGCTATCACTCAAACTAGCATCACTACCTTCATCTTTCTGAAAAGAAAAAAGCATCAGACCATACTTAATTGGCTCATTTGTATATATCCTTATGGAAAAAGAGGAAACAAACTTAGTAAAAGGGAAGTCTCTATCAAAGTCTTAGTAACAGCCTGTGTGAAATACTAAAAATGTTTATTCTGAAAACGTTACTGGAAACAACTAAAATATTTAATTTTAAATGTCAAATTTTTCTAGAATACTTTACATTTATTTCTGAACGAGCATTCTAACCCACTGTATTCTGTATATCATACATGACACTGCTACTCTTACCCTACTTTCAAAAGAGCTAATGGTGCAATAAAGAGAAAAAAGGACTGAGGAAAATTAAGATACTTAGAAACACAGCATGAATTTACTCTGCTGACATTATCTTTTGTCTTTAAAATGCTTAAACAGTGACACTAAGGTCTTCCTTCTTGTAAGGGTTTTGCAATACCTTGTTCTCTTCTCTAGACTGTCACACACACAGCTATGAGTAACTGAAAGTGGATACTTCGACGGCACTTGCTGTCTAATGTGTTCATTAAGGGCATTATTCACACTAGTAGTAGTCGTAACACCTTTAAGAAGCACCTAAACACTACTAGAGGGTTTTTTTTCTGCTGCGCTTATCAGAGCTAATGTAGACAGAAACTCAGAGATAGTAGCAAGGGCCTACTTCAGAGCTGTGCATAAGAAGTGGACAGACAGCAAACTTTGGAGGATGCGCTTCTGTTAAGGTGAACTACAAATTTAAACAAAAAAAAAAAAATCAAGATTCTATAAACCACAAATTTTAGCTCAAGGAAACAGTCTTGACTAAAAAACTAAATATCCTCTCTTGCAACAACAGAGTAACCCATTTCCGAATATTAAGGTCCAGGAATTGTCAGTAAGCACTTAAACTAAGAGCAAAAGATAATTTTATTTATATACAAGGAGATAATAACGGAAATCTTGTTTGTTCATCAGGCTTATTAACAACAACAATCTGATTTGTACTCCAGATACTTCAACATCATGATGTCTCACGTACTCAAGAAAATTTTTTAAAAAGAAAAAAAAAAGTCTTGTTCTGAAGAGAGACTATCACAGCACAGTATTTAGAAAGTGGCAAAGCCTAAAGGAATCCAAACGTACGGGCGCAGTTCAACAAGACACCTCAGCGCCCCTGAACCCAGGGACTGGCCCATGCACTCCCTTGCCTGGCTACACAGCACCCCTCCAACCTCCTTTGACCATTTTCTGTTTCTCTGACCCACTCATAAACCAAACTAGCTCACTAAAGCTTCCACAGTTCACTTTCCTTCTGTTGGATTAGCTTCCTACCTGGTTAGTGACCTGAATCATTTCACTGAGGGATCAGACAAGTACAAAAGATAACGCAAGAAAAAAACATGAGGGGAGGACGGGACCACTGTCTACAGGGAGAGAAAGCTGTGAGCGAAACAGGATGTCAGCATCACACCTTAACATTCTGTCCCCCAATAGCTTTTTAACGAATATTAAATACTTATCCTACTAATAAATTAATAAAAACAGTATTTATCATGATATAGCATTTATTTACTGAAAATATGATTTTTATTTATACTATAAATACTTATAAATACTTTTGATAACACTAGTAAATACTAAATACTAAAAACTAGTATTAATTGTTAACCAGCCCATGTTCACATTTCATTTTAAAAGTAGTTTGAACTTTGATAATTTTTAGTCCATTAAGGTAAATCCAGGGAAAGAAAGAGGTCTGTATAAAGATTCAATCTTAGGACTTCCTTAACACCAGTCTAAAACCAAAACAAATTCCACACTTTTTTTTCTTCCTCACTATTTCACTTCAGGAAGTACATCAACATAACTCAAAATAATATCTATACTAGAAGATCATAATTAAAACTTTAAACTAGGTGAAGTAGAAATTTGGGATCTAAGACTTATTCAAAGTGGCAGCAGAGGTAACTACCACCACGCCTAACACACACCACCTGTAAAATACATGCGCAGCCACCCAGCTGTTTTCTCTAATGCTCTGTAACCGCACAATACCGACTTTTCACAACACTTTAATAGCATACATACACACTTCTGAACACTGTAAGCATTTGTGTATGTACTTTTTGCTGTAATCAGCCACAAGTTTAGCTGTGGACTTAGAGAAATACCTCATTGCTATGTCAGGTTTAGTAACTACTTTCTGAAACTACAAGAGCTGCCCTGTGCAGGATAGAAGCAGTTTCAAGGTAAGCCACAGAACCAGTTTCAAACCGGCTAGGCGAGACAGAGAAAATGAAACTACAGAAGAGGATCAAGCATGTAACGAAGCTTCATGAGGGCTAACATTAAAGCTATTTTGTGAGCAGTGAAATCAGTAATGCACACGTTCCTATACTCCAACTCTACCCCTTCCCATGCAAAAATCCTAACTCCTCCCCGGTCTCCTATGACCACCTTTCTCTGCACTACCACCAGTTCCCTCCAGTCCCAAATCTCAAAATCAGCTAGTATTCCTCATTTGTCCTGTCTATTCATTGGTCAGAGGCAATACAGCGATGTAGTTACTCCTGAGCTACGTGCATGCCAAGCGGTCAGCTGGCAGGTAAAACAAAGTATTAGTAATCAACCTGGAGACAAAATCTGGTACTTTAGGTCTCCTCCCTCTGCTAGTGACCTACCAATATTCACAAAATTTATAAAACCTGAGTATCTTTGAGATCTCTAATACTGTCAAATGAACAGATATTGGCCGATAGCTTCCAAAAATGGAAGGGCAGGCTAACCGTCAGTGTGCTCACGTCAGGGCAGTTGCCCAAGGAACTAGACTAGCAATGAAGGGGTTTACTTAACAGAGGCAACAATCTCTGGTTCTTCTTGTTCAGGATATTATTTTCAGTTGAGCCTCATTTGTCTGCATATTAACTCTACACAGTAAGTGTACAAAGTACAAGTACACTAGCAAGTACAAAGCAAGTCTAAATTTTAAGACAGTAGATCCCAAACACTAACTTAAGTTAGGACACCTGGTCTAGTGATGCACTAACATACAAACTGTTTTACCATGAAGTAGTGACAAAGCTACTACAATGAAAAATCATTGAAATTTTAAATATATTAGTAAGAATCCAAGCTCCATTTTCCAGTTAACAGACAATCTTAAAAATTCAAGCTCTAGGGAAATCACACCTAGACTGCCATCCAGAACTTTCACCTACCTATAGTAAAATATGGAGATGGAGCTTTCATTACACTCAAGAGATTAGCCAAACTGGGATATGCTAGAACAAGAAAAGAAATTAATTTCAATCTGAGCAGCCTTTACAGAGAGCAATCTATCCACCGCTTCCTCACATTTATAGCAGAAGAGGTCTAATGATTCCACTGCACTCAACTTGCTCCCTCAAGTAACTGGGTCTCTTTATAAGTTTAATGATTAAAAATAGTACTTCAGTTTCAACCCAGAAACTTATTACTTAACAGTGTACATCACGAAAACTAGTTCTGGGACTAGAAAGACAAATGTATGATACAAGCAAGAAACTCAAAAATTAAGATAATAATGCAATTGCAGAAGTAGGAACCAATGCACTCAACTCGAAGCTCCTAATGAAACACTGGCACCGAAGCAAACATCCTCACACGCTGAGAGAATGCAGACAATACAAATTAATAAAATCTCAATCATGTCAGAAATTGCTCAAAAGCATACCAAAGCCACAAAGAAAAAGCAAGCACATAAAAATCACTCATTTTTTACGAGTTTACCTAGTGTCAGGTAAGAGGTAAACAAAATTAAGCACAACTATATTGATCTAACAGAAATAAAACTCCCACCAAACTCCAGCTGTGATCCAGAACCACCAGAACCCAGCACAGCTTCTTACGGAGAGCACTCTCACTAATAATGAGTAAGGAAATAACTGGAGTTAACAGGATACCATCCGTGGTCTAGACTGGCAAAACATAGTCTTCATTATCTTTGGATTCAAGAGTAAAATGGAATGTGACAGCTGAACGAATACTGCAAATTAGCTGTTCAGCTAAGATTCACCAACAAGGGTCTTGCAGAGGTAGTGGGGCAAACTCTGGCAAAACACCTTCACCGAAAGCAGCTGAACGACGGCAATGATAAATCTAGAAACAAAATCTAAAATGAGTAAATAAAGCAATAAAATAAATATAGCTGCATACTTATCTCTGTGTTTTGTCTACGTTGCATGAAAAAGATGGGAAAAATATTTATTATAATACACACATTCATGAACAAGCTACAAAAACCCTGACATAGAATATCAGCCGTAGTCTCTTCCATGTCCACCCCTAGATTTCAAAACAATAATTTGATGCTAACAGAGCTTTATTTATAACATTTAAACACAAGTCCTTAAGTTTTGAAAGAAGATAAACTAGAAATCAATTAATAAAACTGACTTCTTCCTTCTCAGTCTCTTAGGAAAAAAAAGCGACTACATCAACACAGTCTTTCAGCATGACTGAAGAACACACATACCCAGGGAGTCCTCACCAACAAGGGCTTGCCTTCAGGTATATCACAGGGACCAGCTAGCTAAAGCATGATAGCCGATTAATTTTGAAGTTAAAATACAAAGACTACTTCTACCATATTGAAGGAGAGAGGGTGGGGTCTTTTCGTTTCTTCTGGCTTTTAAGTTGAATCTCCTGGCCAAGAGAATATCCAAAGAACTCCTCACTAGATGGCTGGTCTGAACAACCCAAGATGACCATAATCCAGCAGTCTCGGCAATACAGGACGAGTACGAACCATCTCTATCACTGTCATCTCCAAGTAGCGAACGCAAGTTCATCGAGTTTTTGAGTAAGGGACGACATAACATTCAAACCACAACCACACCTTGCAATTTCTGAAAAGACTCCATCTGGTTTGCCACAGGTTCAGCTGTATTAAAACACAGGTATGTAGACATGAATATTTGAGTTTTCCACCATGGTCAAACTTGCTCTCCTTGCCCCACATTTCGTGGATCACACCCTTCTTCTGACTAACTCTCTGCCGCACCCAGAAAGTTAGCATGATAGCTCATACAACTGCACAAGTCAGACATGAGAGTTTTCAAGCTAATGTTTTAAACCTTTCAATATCGATGTTTTTCTCTTTTCTGGGACCTGCTCCCACATCGAAGACATGAAATTAAGACACAGTGACATTCAATCTTCAACTGACCAATCCTGTTCCTCTGCATTTTGTTAAAAGCAAAAACTATTCTAGTTAGTTTTTCTTTTTGCCCCACTGAACAAGCATGAAACACCCTGAAATTTACTATTGTCTTAATAATAATGGAATAAGCATTTCCAAGAAATCTGTTTCAGCTACAGGTTTTCAAAAACCACTACTTCTAACTTTAGTTAATTCTTATCTTCTGATATTTAAAAGTAACTTTTTCCTCCCCATCTGACTCTCTGAAAAGGCAACAACGACTTTGGACATCTCTCAATCTTATTCTTACTAACTCTGGAGAAACTGAATCCAGGTCATCCAGTTATTTCTAATATAATTTAAAATGTATCTTGCGAATAACAACATATCTCCCTAGATGTCCCAGAATATTAATAATCTGGATTAATATTTTAAAAGCACATGTGGAAAAAAACGTGATCCACCTTTTCCCCTACCAGTTCATGCAAAGTTCCTGTGGAAGAGGCTATCCATTAAAAGAAATAAAATACATACCTGGGGATATTTAATGCATTTAATAAACATTTTTATCACAACGGTATGAAAAGAGTTGTCTTTCCAAAATAAAACTTGTATTCATGAAAAAAACATGATTGTGTCTCCAGTGTACCAATTAGTTAAGCTCATTACTCATTTTTGCCCTCGGATAACTATTCAGTTAACAAATAACTTGCTGTTATAACGCCATTTCAAACACACCAATAAAATACACCAAAACCACTCTCTATCTGTATGTCCAGTGATTCTGGATAAGCCACTTGCTCGCTTATATATCAGTTTCTGCAAAGGTTAAAAAAAAGGGATTAATATATTAACTTCTACAAATTTATCGCATTAAAGATCTACTTTAAGATCTATTGATGGAAGTTAGTAAGAGCTAGGTATCCTTCCTAATGCATTTTTGGGCTAGGCATACTAAGGAATTTTAAAAAAATCAAAAGGCTTCACAATCTCTTTGAGGTATTTTTAGTTTTGCTCTCATTTGGTTCCAAATTCTAGTAACTAGATCAAACAAATTTTCTACCATGACTGTGATAATATCATCTGAACAGAATCTAGTAAATCACTGCAAACCATATTTCAAGTTGTTTTGTTTTGTTTTAAGTTCGTCACTTTGCTTTATAGCATCTTCAACAACAACAAAAAAAGGATTACAACTGTCCTTAGGCTCGGTACAAATTTTCAGTAGCCGAAACGCTCCCATCAGCTTGCTCAAACTACGGACCACACCTTGCCTTACACATCTGCACTATGTCCTAATTTCAGGATGACACACTGCACTACCCACTCTCTCCAGCACCAACACATCCTCAACAAGCTCCTCCACACCCCAACCCACATTTCCCTGGCAAATGCCCTTAGCCCCTCTTCTGTGGGAGGACTGACTACCTGCTTGGCGGGAAGAGGTAAGACCTGCTACACTTGTCTGGGGGAAGAAGGTAACGTGACTCAACTCCAGGTCGCAGCATAATACAGCAGACTGCATTCATGTCGGTACACTATGTACTGCTGCACGCTAAACATCTACTTTCATGTCCTAAAAATCCAGTAAGTATACTGCCTGTGCCTTCAAGTGACAATAAGCTGGAAAAAAATGTACTTGGATTAAAGCACATTAACTACCTTACTAAGAACTTCATGTTTCATTAAGGACCTCATGTGCTAACCTTACTGATAGCTTGAAGAGACACAAAGTTGGCTTAAAAGAACCCATCTTCTGATCACAATTCTCCAATTTCCACTTGTTTGCACACAGTCATTTATCAGACAATGGCTCTCCATGAGTGTTAAGGAAAAATAACAAGATTCACACTTAAGTGTTTGATGATCTTGGAATAAACAACTATTAATGCTGTACTTCGTTGGTGATAATGATAGTAAAGAATGTCTCAACTGCAGAATCATCTAAATTCTTTTAATATTCAGCTTTTCGGTTTGTTTTTTTCAGGAAACTATGCCTACATCGATAATAGCCATTAAGAATATAAATATCATCATCCAGACTTTTTCAGAAGAACAAATTCCTCCCAACTCATTCAGGTGAAAAAACATATTTTTTGCATGAGAAGATCTGCTTCATTTTTTCAACAGATTTCCATTTTATTTCCTGAAAATCTTCAACTCTAGAATTCAGGTTATTTAATAAACGTGAAAGCTTTTGAGAAAAGTTAAAAGTTTACAAGTTAAAATCAGAAACCACTACCTACAACACTGTTCATGGTGTATTTTCACACTTGCAACCATTCCCTCTGTCTATAATAGAGACACCTGTTCGTATCCAGGTTGAGTGCCTTCCAACAGCTTTTGATCGGACATCCAAAAAACTCTTGCAATCTATAGCCTACTTGTAGGTTCATGAAAGAAAGGGAGAGTGAGCTACAGAGCAGGCTCTGCCAAACTATGACAGAGCCCAAAACCAGTGAGCTGAGGTTTGTCCTCCACCCGCCATCACTGCCCTGCTCCAAGCATTTCCACCATGAGTGTTCTTCACTCCTCCTTTGTGCCTTCACTAAAGTTAGGGAGACACTGTGAATTTTCAGCTAACAATCCAATCAGAGGGATGGAGGGGAGGCAAGGGGAAGCAGGAGGATGTGGGGAGAAGGGTTAGTTTCAGCTGGACTGATAACCAGATCCTGATCCAGCTGATCGAACGGTCAGGCAAGCATTACTATTGGCAAGTCTATTCCTTTTCACAACTGCAGAGCTAACAGCTTGCAGCACATGAGAAATCACACACCTTCAGAAGAGCAAGTCTACCGAGGTCTCTACCTGCTCTATGGGGGTCCACACCTCACTGACAAGTTTTTCTAGAAGATCCACATATCAGAAGTTTTTAAAACCACTGATCTTCCTAATGGAACACTGAAGGAATACTAAAAGCAAGACATTTTTAGTCAGAACCTTATTAACCATTTCCATGGGTTTCTATATTCTGTTAACAAAGACTTTTAAAGCAAAAATTATATTTATGTAAACAGTCAAGAATGATTACAATTCAGAAGTGGAAAAAATGCAAACATTCAAACAACAACTTTTTTTCCTACCCTTAGTCCTGCTGACAAACCCCATCCCAAAGAAAGTCTGGAGGACATAGCTTCCTTCTAGTACTACTATAAACCTCAACAAATAAGCAGAATTATCTGAATGAGGATAGCAAGTAGGCGAACAGAGAGAACCCTTAGACCAGAGGGTTCCCCAAGGTTTGGACATGACCAGGTACTCCACTCACTAAACTAAGCAAGGAACCGCCTGTAGCAAGTGAAGCTACAGGAAGGAAGTCTTCCATATGAAAAAAAAACCCGTGGGATTAAAAACACTTCTATATCCCTAGCTACAATGCACTTGAAAACAGTATTTCAAAAGAAAAAGCTAATTAAAATTGTGTAAAATCGTACTATGAAATCTTAAGATTAATGTACTGAAATTTAAATCATAATAAAAACAACATTCAAGGTCTGAAAAATGAATCAGAGAAATAATAGAAGGTAGTTATTAAGTATTTGGAATGAGGGATTGCTGAAGCATGGCAACAAATTTCAATGCAAGTAATCTCTTCCACGTGTACAGAAAGAACAGCTTCTTCATTTCAGGCTATTTAAATAGCTCGGCTCGACTACTTATCCATTTTAAATGAAGCAATTGACTGGGGTTTAGAGAAAAGCAAAAAAACCCATTTCCCAAATTATGAAAACACTCAAACTGAAGCATCTGCTCAGAGTTTAACTGGACACAAACTTTCCACCAAAGCTTTACATTAGTCAGGTCATTAACAGACACTGCTAGAAGCAGAAGGATAAAAATCACAAAATTCAGAACAGGCTACAAAAACTACAGAACTTGGACAAGCTCATAAATTCTGTATTTCTGGTAGAAGCACTAAGGCTACCTCCTTTATACCTAGTTCAACTGCAGCTGAAGCTATTAGAGCATACACATACTCAGCAGTGCAAAACGAAAAAGCTGACAGAAGATAACACATTAATCTTACAACTGGTTGAAAAGTGGACTGTTTTAATAGCTACCAAGCAAGAAGAAATTAAATTTATTCAGGAAAAGAGTCCAAGCAAGTATAAATGCAAAACGACACTTAAACAATTTAAAGCAAAATTAATGGTTAAAATAAACCATGAAAATCCCATCAAAGGTAATAAAGACAGTATTTCAAGAGTAAACTCAGAGACAGAAAAATTATTTAGAAAAAGCAGCAAAGCATGGAGAGTAAAAAAAGAAAAAAGGATTAAAAAAGTCTGAAAAATTATTGTCAGCTCCCTTCATAAAAGTGGGTTCATGAGTGATATCACTCTCCCACAAAGTAATACCTTCAAGCCAAAACATCTAATAAACCATCAGCAGCTTTTAAAATGGTCTCAGCTAAAAATAAGAGCAGTGAAAGCTTCAGCTCACTGATGCCGACTTGCTGGATGCTTTAGTTTGAGAAGGGTTTTATGAAGTTTTACGTGGAAATCGTTTAAAGCATCATTACATTGGAATGAAAACTTTTCCACAGTATAACAAATACTTGACAATTTAGGGCAGGGTGTGCAAAACTATACCACATCCAACTGAAACTGCAGGGGGATGGAGGTGATCAGAACATAATTACCTGAGCTA